CCGTAAGAAATTGAGCGACACAGTGATCCACCTCAAGCCATGTCCTCTACAACCGTTCGCGAACAGGGCCTCAATTCTGCTATTTTATGTTTACGCCAAGCCAGTGTCATACCACTGACACGCTATTGAGATGCCATCGAGTAGCCATTGGCATCGTTAAAAATATCGGTAGTTGAAAATATATTACGTTTTTTGAGGAAATGATTTATTTGTTTTTATTATAATAAATTATTAAAAGAAATAAGTAAATTAAAATAACTTTAAAAAAAAATCAAAAAATAAGAAATAAATAAATTATTAAAGAATAAAATATAAAAATTATAAAAAATGGATGATTCCCCCTTGGATGATTCGTCCCAGCGTCGTTGCCATTCGTGTATGAGGTCATTATAGACATCGGACTGCTGTTGAAGCAATCCTGTAATTTTACCGCGATCCCGCGCGCCCAAGAAATCGCATTCCATGTTTTGTAGTCTTGAACAGTACATGGCTACACGTCTCTGCATCTCGAGATCGACCGGAAGCACACCCGCCAACACCGGCAAAGCCTCAGTTCTAACCGTCCTATATGCCTTGCACAAGAATATGAGTGCAAGTCCTTGGCCTTGTAACTGTTTGCGACGGACAGCGCCTACGGTCGCCCTATCGGCCCATACAGGTGCACCATAGCATATAGAACCTACATAAGTAGCTCCGTATATGATCTTTAATGTATTAAATGATAGACCCCATGTCGCAGTTGATATCCTTGTCAATGCATAGAAACTCTTTTTAGACTTTTCATTAACTGTTTTAATATGTTCGATAAATGAAGTTTCTTTCTAAAACTAATCCTAAATAACACACTGAATTTTTATTTTTTACAGTGACCTTGTCAAATGCATTAATGCTCGGCAGTGATTTGAGGTTACCTTTAAAAAGTAGCTGGAAGGTTTTTTGAGACATCAAGTTCAAACATCTATTGGCTAATCTCTCAAGCCCCGCCCTAGTATCAGATTCCACCACCATGTTAGGGACTAGTCTATACTAGGCTTTAAAGCTTAATAGTCTAGTTCCTAACGCACTTGTTAACTAGGCTTTACAGCCACAGATGTATTTATACCTTAATGTTATCATCCAAGAGCCGTTGTTTGCCACATTAGTCATCAAAAATACAATTATTTTAATGTTGATTGCAAAATGTTTATACAGTTTCGGTAAAGGTCATTTTAATCCTACATATCCGTTTAGTGATTGGTTTAAAAATGACGAAAGGATTACAAAATACGCATATTAAGTTAGGGGTAGGCCTTGTTACTGAACACAGAGGTTTTATACAAAATTTAAGAGTAAAGAAAAATAAATAAACTAAATTAAAAAAAAACTACCTATAAAAAGAAATTTAGGGTTCTGACAGCAGTTCATGCAACCAGTTCAAGCTCAATATTGTTTAACTATTTCGATTCCTCTCAAATTTATTATAAATTATTCAGAATTTGAAGTTAATCTATGTTAATGTTATAAAGCAGAACAGTTTGTTTGGTTTAACGCGCTAATCTCATGAAAAAAAAATTCGTGTTATCGAGGAAGGCTGTAGATTTTCTGCGCGCTAAAACCAAAACCATGCTTATCTTCCCAATAATCGACTATGATGACGTGTGCTGTTACGACCTGAATGCAGATCTTCTCGATAAGTTGGACCGTCTTCTTAATAACTGCATTCGATACATCTTTAACCTCTGTAAATATGATCATATATCCTTTTGCTTAACTGGTTACCCATTTGTCTGGAACGTAAATTACGCGCTCTCACTGTCCTATTTACCATTCAAAATAACTCATCTTCGCCAACCTGTCTAGCTTCCTACTTTCAACTCTTATGCAGCAATCACGACAGAAACCTTCGGTCCTCCAATAACCTTCTTCTTCGTTGTCCCTCCCATACATCTGAGTTCGTTGGCTCATCATTTTTCGTTGAATCCGTTTTTCTTTGGAATGCGCTTCCGCTCGAAATCAGGATGGCAACCAACACTTTTTCTTTTAAAGTAAAAGTAAAGCAGTATCTGGTGAAATAACTGGCAGAATCAACTTGCTCGTATTTTTTTTTATATCAAATTGTCAATTTTATAATGTGTATGTATTCAGCTCAAATTGCTTTTAGCCTGTATAAAATTCACTGTAATCAAAATGCACTGTTGCCTCTGCATCACCTAATGGTTGACTGGTAGAGAATACCTTTGGCATTAAGTCCGCCAATGCACCTAATGTGCATGACGTATAAAATAAATAAATATAGAACATCACGCTACAACCAATAGGAGTCCAGCATCAATTAAAAACGTTGCAAAGACGGTGAAAATTTACTGCTTTATAAAACCGTTTACTATCAACCTAATTAAACGTCATTGCGGTTTATGGCTATTTATTTATAGGTAGTCTGTTGACATTAATTAAGATTAGCATGGTATCATGACAAGCGTTTCTGAGAATTACAACTTACTTTGTTCGAATCATTGCAATTCAGCAAATAAAACTTTAGTGATGGAATACTCAAATTAATAAGATTTATACCTTTTGCATATGGTAGAAAAAGACACTGAATTTGTTTTGTTATTGAGTGTTTTCCTGTACGTTTTATTTATACTAACATAGTAAGTCTATTTTTAGCAAATGAAGTGATTATGCCAATGTTGAAAAGACTAAAAACACAGCACTACCAGCACTTTTCTATCGCACCCACTACTGTAATAGATGGTCCATACAGAATGACCATTTCACCAACACCCTTGCAGGATGCAGGTCTAGTCAAATAAATTTGCTAAATCTGTTCAAATAACATGACCCTCTCAGACTACACAGTTGTATGTAAAGTTTAAAGGCTGAAAAAAGTATGTAGTCAATTAACATCCACAGCTTCAAAGACAATGACCTAGTCCAATAGACCACTGTAACATCTAATTATGAAAATTTATGAAATTTCTCTTTATGTGTTTCTACATATTTTTTTTTTTCTGTTTGGGATAATTACAGCTAGCATTTTAAAAACATAAGACCATACCTGAACATCTGATTGCCATTTACAAATAGCATTTACATGTAGCATTAAATTGGAACTATGTAAACAAAGACCAAACCACCACCCGTTCATAAGAAAAAATCTTAGCTAAAATGTTTTTAAATTTAGAAACACTAGTACAAAATGGGTCTATTTCATATTGAGATGAAATTCATATTGTATTATATTGTCTACTCACGTGTAATAATAATAAAATTTTGTCTATATGTAGTCTATATAGTGAACTTAATTGCTGTAAACTGAACTTTGATATTATTATCGTACCTTGTTTAAATGTCTTCCTCATGCTACGCTAAGTAATTTTATTATTAGTTTTTATGATAAGGCAGGCTTTGTATTTCTCTCAGTTTTAGTCTCATTTCATTATAGTTTGTAAATAAGAAAATGTATCACCCGCCACTGACTAGCAGTCCGTCAGTCAGCCAAGGCAAATATTGTGTGATGAATGACTGATGAGCATGAACATTTGTTCTGTGTCTGGATGTAATTTATCTATAATATGTGTGTATTTGGGGTGGAATAAAGTTACATTAACCTGTTATAAATTACTAGCCCGGTAAACGTGGTTTGGCCATATAAATAATTTCTAGCAAATATTTTGGTTGTTAAATAAAAAATAGATAACTTTTTTTAAGTATGTGGAGATAGGGTCTATGACTGAAAGAGGAATGGAGCACTGTGGCCTATGACGGCCTATAAAAATAACGCAAAACCAACCCTAGGGAGAGTCACCCTTACCACATAGGGGTATAAAACATTGCTTGCGACCCATTCTCATACCTACCAAATATACACAATTTGTTTTTAAATGGGTCAAGCAGTTTCAGAGGTGTTTAATAACAATATCTTTCTATGATCAAATCCCAGTAGTCATTTATCACAGGTGAAATTGCAGTGACTAAAACTAATCATTTAATCATATGATTCTAATTTAATAGTAGCAATAATTACCATTACTAGTCTGTATTTAGAAGTATATTAGTATGTTTATTAATAAATATACATGTCCGTTTCCAAAATATTATGTTGTCTGTTTTCTAAAAAGAATTTTACATTAGACCTTTGTCAAATTTTTTTTTTTATATGCTATTGATATGGAATACTTAATTGGAATTTTGATCAGATTAAGTATATCAGGTAGGAGATTGAAATCTATTAATGATAATAATATATGAGGCACTCCCAGGCATGCTACGAGGCATTATGTTCAGAGACATTTGGCACCCTCTACATGACTGACCGGTTACAATCATAAGCAACCACCATGTTGGCTGACAATACCAAATCACTTGTGGAAAATCATACTCTAGTCTGATGATGTTAAAAATAATGATGATTTATGATTAAAGTGTCAAGTCTGGTCTTTTAAATCAATTAAATATTAACTTAACTTTAAATAATAACTTTAAGCTTGAATGAATAATGAATATTTTACAAATGAATGTTTTAATAAAGGCTACATAGGTACTTAACAATGTTCAGTTTGAAAATAATCAGTCAGTAATTGTTTTATTTGCATCATGTTATTTGTGTATAACTAAACATATATTAATTATGCTTCCGCCTAAATAAAGTCTCCTCTCAAAGACAACAAAACTGACAAAAGATATGTTTAATAAATGATAACAGCTTTTCTACTACAGTTGAGAATTATAAATGTTAAACTAGTCTATAAATTAAATTTGTCTATTACACAACTGAAAAACAGTATGTTTTTATAGAGAACTTTCACAATAAAACAGAAATGGGCAGCTGCATATGACTCATTCTAATCACATTACAATTACATAAAATTTTGTTATAATCAGCACGTAGCAAAAAAAGTAGACGTCTCGTTGTTTTTAGGGAAGATTCCAATTTTAAAAATACGCAAATCGCGTAAGACAAAGGTAGCGGAACAAAAGATATTTAGTAAATAATCTGTCATATAACAGTAGGTACTTACCATTGCATACCTCCGCAGACTTGTTTCTAATAGAGTATATTAGAGGGTTTCTTGTGTCTACGATCACTGAATCGTATCCTTCAATAGTAGCATTCTTCTGCAAAATACAACCTTCACATTCTGCAGTTTGACTCCAAAATTCGACTTGTTCAGCACCAATTTGTAAACAAGCTTGGTCGAATCGCAATATTTTACTGTTACATTCCCTTCTAGACGCTCCGATATTCTCAAAGCTACCTAGAGACATTTTTACAGGTACTCTACATCAGTTTCGCAAATCAGGACAAATAATTCGATTAAAAACAAAGCAATTACACATCCAAAAAATGAACTATAACGCGAGCGATGGCAAGCGAATGAATTGAATGAAATGAAACGTCAACGAAAAGTGTAGAATGCTGCTATTTGAGAATTTACTATCGCGTTGTTAAAATCTACAAAAAATACCATACAATTGTTTTTACGCTATATTGTCATATAACAAGTTAAACAATTTCTGATACCCACTGAGACAGCGTTTGTATGTCGTTGTATTAATTTTTGTAGTAAAATCGTCTTTAGCGGCGTTATACACTTTTTTTGTAATAGGTAAATTCGTAAGACGGATGGAGAGTAAACAGCCGGCGCGGCGTACCTACGATAGCGCAATAAATAAGTATTATATGTATTCTACCACATAAATGATAGTACTTTTACACTGATAATTAAAGCAATTCGTGCAAAATTATTCCCTAACCATTCCAAAATATCAAAAATGCACAACGTTAATATTCAAGTTTTCACTTCTGCCGGCACTCCCGGAGTGCAACCCGTCTTTTTTTTATTAAAAGTAGAAAATAAGAATATTTAAGTATTGTCCATCTAATCTAAGAGGTAACATTTGACGTTTCATACTTTTCCAGCTGAAACAACTTTGTATTGGCTTAACTCACACAATTATTTTAAACTGTTTCGTAAAACCATGGAATCATGCGGCTATTGTATTCTATTATCTATATTTTATTTTAATAACTAAATTTTATTCTTTTTAACAAAGCAAATTAGGTAATATGTATGTACAATAGATAGATTTTTTTTGACTAAAATCACGTACTGTTGCGACTCTTTTACTTGATCGTTAATATGTACGAATAATCGAACTTATTAATAACTTGTCATTTTCAATCCAGACGTCTTTAAGTATTTTTATATTGTACTTTTTATTTTATTTAGTATTTTACAATACGCGCCATACTAGTCTGCGCCAATGACGTCAGCTACAAACCGAATGTTGTAGGCCTGTATGTAGCCTGTATGTATATTATATAATATTATGGTAATTAATAATACAATAGTTACTAACTACTTTTTTTCCACGAAATGTAATACAAACCCTAGATTGTTATACCTCGTTAGATAGCTGATGAAACGTAGATATTTTAAAAAACATCTGCCGAACAATTACCATAATATTGTTTTTAGATATCCGTTAGAGAAAAAAAATATTCTAATTTTTTTTTTTATTTCTTTACTTTCACTTGTCTACTACGATCTATTCAATTAACTTATGAACTATTTTAATGACTGACGTCTGAAAGCATCTTATTACACATGTAAAAATGCAAAAATAATAATAATAAGATACACAAAATAAACAAAAATAAATGTAGTAGCCTAAAAATCAGGAAATTTCAATAAAAAAATTAAAAGACGATTATCTCGAAAAGGGTTAAGTTTAGGGTAGGGTGTTTCATAGCGAAATATGTCAGAAATGATGGGTACTCCACGCCCTTAACGGATCTAGCACGACTTTTCTTGTAACCCTGTATATATATATATATATATATATATATATATATATATATATGTTATAGGCTTTGTATTATGCAGTTACTTTTCTTCAGTATAGGAATAATTATACAGTTCTTGATTATTTTAATGTGTTATCCCTTTCTGAATCCCATAAACCCTAACAGTTTGACTTTTAAATACGATTTTTTAGATTACTTCACATTAAACTTTTAAGCATACTGTTTGATTTTCCTCCATACTTTATAACCCAACGTATTGTAGTACATCCTGTATCGCTGTCCCTTTTACTCCCACACGTTTACCACTACGGAACAATAAAGCGGAGCATTAATAGTACGTCGCACAACGAACGAACGTAGTCGACAGAGTAAACAATAGGTAGTTTTAGTACTGGCTTGAAGTTGACACTGTGTACTAATAGTGCAAAATGTCCGATTAACCGCTGTCTTTCGGAAACATTACTTTTAGTACAATACTCAGTACTAGTACAATACCCAGTATCGTACGTGTACTACCCAAGACTATTAACTAAGTAGACAATCTACTACAAAAAATGGCAACACTGTAGTGCAGCATGCGTCAACGTGATTCATCATCACTCATCAGCAAAGCAAATGAGAATGAATGGCGAATGATTTGGAAAAGAAATAGGGCAATAGAAGTCATGAAGTATTTTCAGTTTTACCAGCAGCACTATTATCATGTTGACGGGACGTGAAATGCGAGTATAGGATTGGTCGATAACCGCTTAACATCAGCCTGGTCACGCACGTCTTGGTTTTCTACTGTTGCTAAAAGAAAGCAGGTGTAATAAATAAAGTATGTTTACTTTATTTATTACACCTGCTTTTTATGGACTAATTTATAAGTTGCAATTATTATTATTATAATTACATAGAAGCAATTCCTGTAGGTACAATTTATAACGTTTTCTTTTTCTAATTGCAAAAATCTACATCACGCTGACGTCGTTTATATCGGACTACATCTTCTATGACAATTTCCATAATTAGGGGGAGGTGGGGCCGGGCACGCCGTCATCGCGGCGGTAAGACCCGTTATGGAGGATTGGCTCGAGAGGCGTCACGGGACCCTCTCATACTGACTGACGCAGGTGATCACTGGGAAAGGATGTTTCGGGGATCACCTGTGTCTGATCCGCAAGGGGCCAACGCCTGAGTGCCACCACTGCGATGGCCAGACCGTGGACACGGCTCTCCACACGCTGGCAGAGTGCCCGGCGTGGGTTGAGCAGAGGCGAGACCTCGTGGCGGCCATCGGAGTGGGAGTTCTCTCGCTCGATAGCCTGATTGCGGCTATCGTGCGGAGCGAGAGTGCGTGGAACTCTGCCGTCTCCTTCTGCGAGCAAGTTATGCTCGCGAAGGAGACGGCGGAGCGGGACCGGGAGAGGTTTAGGACTCTCCCGGCCCGCCAGGCCCGGGAACGGGCCAGGTACCGCAGGCGACTCAGGCGTCAGAGGTCGCAGAACGACCTCCGTCCTCCATAAGCGCAGGCCTGGGGGTGACAGGTGAGGCCATCTGTCACCCTAGCAGAAGCAGGCCGGGGTGGCGGCGAGCGCGTTGCGAAGCGCGCTCGCTTCCAGGGAGCACAGGGAACATGGGGTTCCCACACGGGGGGGGGGGGGTCGTCTACTCGTCTGTAGATGACCCGAGGTATGTCGGGGTACCAGGGACTTCCTTTCTAGGGTATACCTGTTTCCCCGGCTATTAGTACCCGAGACGGCGTGCGGTTTTAGTCGGTTCGAGTCCGACATGCCACCGACAGGTGGTATCCGAGGGGATTTCCGCACGGAAAAAAAGGGGGAGGTGGGGCACAATGATATAAGGGGCACATATATACACAAGCATTATTTAATAATCGATTGAATGTGTTCGAGTGGTGACATCTCTAGAACGCTCCCATAAATGTTTGAACGCATCCAATGTGATCGCGTCGTATTTAGGATTAGAAAAGAGTTTTAAACCGTGGATGCTGCCTACACATGCTAAAGTCACATGTAGAAATTATAAATAAGCTATAACAATAACCAAAACAATTCTAATTCCAAAAAAAGTAAGTGTGAAAAATTGGTACTTGTGAAAAAAAAAAGTTTCAGTATGGTCGTACTTATTTATTCTTTATAAAACTTAAATTTGTATACATTAATGTGATGATAATGATCGTAATTGTTTGTTTAAAGTGGATGAGATAAAATTAACTTCAAAAGTCGCAGAAGTACTTGTAAAAACGCATATCTGGTATGTTCCGGTATTTTTAAAGGAGCTTCGAATGTGTTGTGACTTTCATAGAACCAAGCTGGAAATGGTGGTGTTTGTGGAACGTAATGCCACTGTTTATCACCTAATATAACAATTAAACACGAGTACGGCCCTTTGAAGTATATCTGGAAAAGTATGTTACTTTAATAAAGAGAAATAAAAGCAAGTCTTAAGCAGTTCATTATTTGAAACTTAAAAAATAAATAAAAATGCCCCGTATGTTTTTTTTTATATGTATTGAGTGCAACACTATTGGGTAAGTTGAAGATAATATTCTTACAAAAAGCTCTATAAAGGATAAGGGTGTTTATTATTTATTATTATGTTTCAGTATAAACAAATTCATATGAAAATCGAGATGTATTATGTATAATTTTTTTTTTTTGTTTTTTTTGTTTGTTTTAAAAAAGACAACTCCCGCATTAGGAATATACCCTGTGTCGCGGAGGACTTTACAAACATACTTGAAACGGACACAAAGAACTATGGTGACAGCTGAACCCAGACTCAGAACAACAATTTGTGGATCACACAAAGTATCGTCCCATGTGGGGTTTGAACCCACAACACTCGGCGTAGTAGGAAGCGGCGTGGCGACCGCTTAAACCACTACGCCATCCGTGCAGTGCAGTGCAATTAATATTTTTGTGTCTTAACTAGTGATGTGCCGGATATCCGTATCCGTATCCGTATCCGCGGATCTTGACACCAAATATCCGTATTCGGATCCGTATCCACGGATATACTTTGTTAACGATCCGGCACATCACTAGTCTTAACATAAAAAACCTTAATTTAGGTACTTCTCTAAGTTTGTACTTAATGTGTAAGAAACTTAATTAGGTATATAATGCCCAAAAATGCATCCTTACCGCGATTGATGGATCTTTCTGTATTTCGTTTTTAGATAGGTACGAATCTGGCTCTATATTAGTGGAAAGTCTGAAAAATATTTATGAAAAATGTTTATGTCACATATTCGTACTTAAGACTTACGAATTTTATTTTTATTTTTGTTTACTTTAATAGTTGATTTGTAGTTAACCATTAACCGCCGTGTGGTTACGGATTACGAATACGGAGTATCACCACCCCTAATCATCCTGTGGGTGTGGTAAGAGTCGACTAAGCGAGCAAACTACGTACAACAACAGCACTGCAAAGAGAAGGAAAACTTGACACAAACCCTTTTTTTTTTTTAACGTGTGGAAATCCCCTCGGACCGTCACCCCACCGGGGTTTGCGGCGGGGTGGTGTGTCGGACTCGGACCGACTAAAACCACACGGTGTGCCACTCTGCGCCTGTAACAGGAGGGATCCGGGAACAGCTGTTGTTAAGACATCCGGACCCCTCCTAGCGCCTCCGCGTCCTCCCGGGCCTTCTCCGCCGCCTTCTTCTGCGAGATTACTTCCTCGAAGAAGGTTGCGACCGCGGTAAAACAACTGTCGCTACCGGCCATGGAGCGTACTACGGCCGGTAGCGAGAGATCCACTCCGATGACTGCAGTGAGGGCCCGGCGCTGCGTCGCCCATGCGGGGCAGACCGCCAGCGTGTGCTGGGCCGAGCCCTCACTGCAGTCGCAGTGGTGGCAGGCGGGACTCAGTTCCCTCCTAGCGACCGAGTGCAGGTACTTTCCGAAGCAACCGTGCCCGGAAAGCACCTGCGTCAGCCGGAAGGTAAGGGTCCCGTGCTGCCGCTATGCCCACTCGGCGATGACCGGCTGGAGAGCCTCCACGGCGGCGAAGCCAGCGCGTGGAGTCTCCAGCCGGAACGACCAACGAGCCATCGTGGCTCGGCGAGCGGCTTCGCGCCACTCGCGCACGTCCTCGGGCGGAGGGCGAAATCCGCTCTCCGCCCGGGAGTCAGCCACTCGCCGATAAACTTCGGCGAGCACTTCCGCCTCCAAATCCCACGGGGGAGTTCCGGCCAACGCGCATGCCACCTCCGTCGAAACGGTGCGGTAACCGCGTATGGCTCTGACCGCCATTACCCTCTGAGGGCGCCAGAGGCGTGCCCTATTCTGGGCGGTCAGAGCCGCCGCCCACACCGGTGCACCGTAAAGTGCCATTGACCGGACAACCCCCGTGTACAGCCGTCTTGTCGCGACGCTGGGTCCACCCAAATTGGGCAAAAGTCGCCCTAGGGCAGACGCAGCCCCGACCAGCTTTGGAGCAAGCTGTCGGAAGTGCTCGTCGAAGAGCCACCTCCCGTCGACGATCAGGCCCAGATATTTCATCTGGGCCTGAACCGGTACGAGGACCGAGTTGACCACGATTGAGGCGCCAGGGGGTGGAGCACGACGGGGCCCATGAAATAACAGGGCCTCCATCTTATCTAGGGCCACCCGTAAGCCCAGCGCCTCAATGCGCCCGATCACCAGTTAGCCTCCCCTTGTGGCCAGGCGCGCCGCCTCTTGGAAGTTCGCCCCCCGGGCTGTCACCAGGGTATCGTCCGCGTAACAGATTACACCCAGCCCTGGGGAGAAATCGGCTCGAAGGGCCCAGTCGTACCCTATGTTCCACAAGAGGGGTCCAAGAACAGACCCCTGTGGAACACCGCACGACATGGGCCGACACCTCAAATTACCATCTCGGTCCTCGTACACGACGGTACGCTCCTCTAAATAGTCTGCCACTAGCCGCCTCAGGTACTTTGGCACCCCATGATAGTGGAGTGCTTGCCTGATGCAGCTGAATGGCAGACTATTGAATGCGTTGTCGATGTCTAATGACACCGCCAACAGCACGCCGCCACAGCTCACGGCCTCTTCGGTCAAGGCCCTCAGGCGCAAAACAGCGTCGACTGTCGAACGCCCCGCCCGAAAACCAAATTGGGCGTCCGATAGATCGGGGTTGACACAAACCCTACACCAACCCGTCTGGCCAGCGTGGTATGGTGGCCAAAACCTCCTTTCTAAGGAGAGGTTTATGTCCAGCAGTGGACTATTAAAGGCTGTTGATGATTGTAGTTAATATCTCGGTATGTACAGCAAGCGGCAAACCTAGGTTCCCCTTCTATAGCAAGTAAGGTTAAACAAACAATTAGACAGCAAACAACTCCCACAATTTCGTTTGTCAATTAAGTTTTAGAGCCTATAAATCGTGGTTACAGAACTTTAGTACACTCATAATATCAATTTAATGTTAAAAATCATACTTTAAAAAACAAATAAAAAGCAGTAAAAACATACGCGAATTTGTTAATTAATTTCGTGATCTCATTTATCAAGTCTTTCTCAGATCGTGTGTTCTGGCCGTTAGAAGCTTGTTGAGTTTTGTTTCGCAGTTGATAATTATCTTGATTTAAAGGTCTAGTAGCTAATTGGCTAGCTCCAGCTCTGAAAATATAAAAAAGACCGTTAATAATTTCTACACTTAAATCCTTAATGTCAACACTCTTTTTTCAAATTTCAAAAAGAATTTGTGAAAAAAGTATTTGACATAATATAATATAATTTTTAAACTATCCTGAAACCCTTTTTATTGGACTCGACACTTGTAGCATAAGCAGTGGCGGTCTTTGTCTTTATGGAATTAGTTTTAATGCTGATACTTGAAACCTTTTAATAAGTTTACCTTTATCTGTAAAGACTTCACATTATTAAAAATAACACTCAAAAAGATTTCCTTAGAGCCGGATTTGAACCAGTGATCTATGGATGTCAATTTAAATCCTACTACAGTCCACCGCTCTACCAACTGAGCTAACAAAAATAACACTCAAAAAGAATTCCTTCGAGCCGGATTTGAACCAGCGACCTATGGATACCAATTTCAAACCTACTACAGTCCACCGCTCTACCAACTGAGCTATCGAAGGGATAGTGATAATTGTGAAATTACTTTTCAGTTTTTATTTTACCAAAAGATATGAGGTGAAAGGTGCCTTTGAAGTTGTAACAATAATAATAATGTTGTATTCGTAATTTTGTAAGAGGGGGTTATCATAATGTTAAGTAAATGTTAGTGTTGCATAAGTTTGTTATATCACTCATTTAGTTTTATTCGTTTACAAAACCAAGATGTGTATTCTCATAGTTACGGACGTACCCAAGGGGTAGTGGGGGCCAGGTGAGGGCTTCGGCCCCTTTTCGCATTGAACGCTTGCGTAGTTTTTTTTGAAAACGAGCTGACAAAAACTATTTGTGTCTGCCCGGGAAAAAATGATCAGGCCTGATCAGACCTGTTCATGCATGATCAGACCTGAAATTTGACCTGATCAGACCTGTTCATGCCTGATCAGACCTGACGTTAGACATGATCAGACATGATCAGGCCTGATCAGACATGATCAGGTCTGGGCCGTAAAATACGTTCAGATCTGATCAGGCCTGTTCATGCATGATCATGTCTGATCAGGCCTGAATGTATTTTACGGCCCAGGTCTGATCATGCCTGATCATGCATGAATAGACATGAGCAGGTCTGATCAGGCCTGATCAGACCTGTTCATGCATGATCAGACCTGGACGTATTTAACACTGCAGGTCTGCTCAGGCATGATCATGCATGAACAGGCCTGACGTGTTAAATACGTTCAGGTCTGATCATGCATGAATAGACATGATCAGGTCTGATTAATAGTTAAATACTTAATTATTATTCCTATATCTTTATATATCGATCGAGCTGGACCAACTGGATCCAACTCGAGTTGAATCAGACCAGACATGTTGATTCGATATATATGTATACCTTTTGTTCCATTTCCTAACCAATGCATTTTTTTACTTTCGATTTATTTATATTTTATTAATTATTCTTTCAACTACAACGATAATTTAATACCTTCTAAATTCATGATATAGTCTTGAAATTTACAAAATTACTATTTTATTTTAATAAACATATATATTACATAATTAAAAATTAATAATAAATAACTGGTCATTGTAAATTTCTGTTATAGAAAAGACCTTTGTGTTCTTACCTTCAAGGTTAATATTTTGATTTTCTCTGCTCAAATAATTTTTAAATTTTATAATTTAATTAAAACTTGTGTTTGAAATAATTAAATTTATTAGTGTGTTATTTGCAATGTTTACATAATATACATTTGTGGGTATACTGATCATATGTATATATCACACGCCACAAGTCATCAAGTAAATATATATGGGCACAGCTATGTGTGAGTGTCCTCATGTATAGCACACAACTTTATATGTCACGTGACACACCGGTGTAATTCACTTTCAACATGGATGCCGTCGCATAATAAGAGTATAAACTGTGTGCGTCTTCTACTAGCGTCTGTTTATGTGCAATTGTATGTGATTATTAATTAATTAAACTTTAAATATTTCACTCTACAAATTTATCTGTGTTGTTTGTGGAGGCATCAAACATGTTTTTAATTCAATGCTCTATGGTGACAATTGCGCCTATATCATCGATAATGATGACAACAAAAAACCTCACGAGCTGGTTAAAGATGATATTACTAAATTCAATATGAAGAAACGACAATATGAAGGAAAAGTGATCGACTTTTCAAGTAAGATATTTAATTATTTTTGTTTATCGACATAAAGGTTATATTATTATTTTTAACATTTATAAAAACTTAAATTTGCTAACATTTGAAAACAATATTTTTTTTAAGTAAATACATTACTCCTGGTGAAATATTCTTTAAATAAATTTCATATTTTTTTAATTACTTTGTGTGAAGTTTTCCAAAATATTTGTTAAATATTAGATTCATTTCTGTCATATATGAATAATTCTCATTTGTAATAGTCCATTAAATTTGATGAATAACCATTTATTTTTTTACATACAATAATTAATATTTAATATCTATAGGTAATTCCGATTTTTTACAAAAACGAAGGCAAGATTTCAATAAAACAATCAAACAAAAAAAGAAAGTAACAGCTGGTGTTAATCGTTCGAAACGAAATCGATGCCAAAGAGAAGCTGGAGTCCAGAAAATTCACCACCTCCGAAAAAACTAAAGATTTCAAAGAATGTAAGTTGACTTTATGATTAAAATAAAATTAAACCTAAATATTTTATTATTATATTTTATTTGATTATGATTCAGCGAACGTACGTATAATTTATGTGTAAATATTGATGAAATTTCATTAATGAATACTGAGTTCATGTTCATTTATGTACCGTCATTCAGAAATATGATTTAAAATGATAACCTCCATGTTAAATGTATATCTATAAAGTACTCAAATTAGATGCTTTTAAATTAATTCAAATTGTTTTAAATCGATTCAAATTAGATTTCTTAATCAGGGTATTTAAGTGATAGTAAAAAAATAATGCTATTTTTAATAAATACTACCATTTATTTTTAAATAAATAAATTTTTTAGATGAAAAACATAGGAAATAATGTTTACTGCCGAAAAATAATTTATGATTCAGCGCTAGGAGCTTCTCATAAATCAACGCATTTGGCAAGAAGGTTGTTAGAAGGAGTTTTTAACCACGACACCATGATGGGATGCACATTGACAGGGCAGGCTCCAAGGACTAAAGATAAAAAATCAGCTGTTGTAAATCCATTAGATCAACAGGCGAAAGGCGCGATCGTTGGTGAGTTTTTTTTCTTAATTACTAATCCTAATAGGTAACATTGTGTCAAATTGACTCTAACGTTTTTTTTTTAATCTCTGGTTTAAGAACTTCATTTGAAAGCCTCATTTAAAGCCGTAATCTATCAATAATTTGACTGCTCAATTTTACTTGCATGCCAGAGAATAATTTTACAATAATTAGCATTTAATTGTTTAATTTGGAGCGTAATTCTTTGGGTTTGGAATCAAATTGACCCCATGTGACCGTAAATATGGATTATTATCGAGGTGTGATGTGACTCATTATGAACGAACTTTGCAGAGTTTGCGATGCATACAGCCGTTGAGAGGAAGTGGCCGATTCAAAGTCGACAAATCATTTTAAAGGAAATGAGCCAAAGATCACTGAATATAAACGCGACAACATGAAGAAGGAAAAAACTGAAACGAGTCCAAAAAGCTAAAAAATTCAATACAGTTTCACATTATACTTTTAATAATTTTAAGTGAATATTAACGTTAAGAAAGTCAACCAAAGAGTTACTTCCATATATCTAATAAAAAAATAAAAGGTGATAATTACCAATTAATCATATCCATAAATACTATAATATTTTGTTTCGGATTTTATAAATATTTTTCAGAAAATATTTAATATTCTACGGTTTGTTAAAACTTATAATAAAATTATCGGATAATAAAATTTCATTACTTGAACCATATATTATGATTTTATTTCAAACCTGGAAAGGATAATTAGATTAATTAGTTCTGCATGATCTAATCATACAGATCTAATAATTTTTTCAGGCACTTTGATCAACAGAGTTTTTTTCAGGAATGAGTCTCAGGCTTAAAATTAACAAAGCTACTCGACGGTGAATCAGATCTGATCAGGCATGAGTCATCAGCCCTGATCAGGCATGAACAGGCATGAGTCGTCAGGCCTGTACAGACCTGAAAAATGACCGGGCCTGATCAGACCTGATCCGGCCGGATCAGGTCTGATCAGGCCTGACGACTCATGCCTGATCCGGCCGGATCAGGTCTGATCAGGCCCGGTCATTTTTCAGGTCTGATCAGGCCTGACGACTCATGCCTGTTCATGCCTGATCAGGGCTGATCATTTTTTCCCGGGTGACCCTGGATCAATAAAATAATGTTCCAGGAATTAAAATTGATGGCGCTCAGTAGATAGTTTATGTTTATTCTTGGTGTATTAATGTAGGCAATAGCCATTACAAATTTTAAATATAATAAATAAATATCATTTTTAAAGCACGCTATTGTATTTGCATTTAATGTTTTGCGGTAAGCAGGTATACATAATAAGATAATTAAAATGTATTACCCTATTGTTATTTAATAAAATTTGGTATATTGGCAAGCGCCCCATGTCTTTTTGAACAAAAGCCTTGCATTCGATAAATACCTACAGGTTTGCCAGTAGCCAGGGACGTAATGATGTATACCTACTATGTAGATACTTAGGTAATATGTAAAACGACGTCCACAGATAGGTAGGTAATGGTTAAAACTAGTTTATTTCTTATTTTTTACTATATTTATTAGTATCCACACTTACTACTATCATTACAGGCATATCCTAAAGCGATAGTGTAACTATTACGAAAATGCTTGTTTTACATAACCTCTAAGTTTGTGTTTTGTAACATATAGTATATAATACTGTCTTTGTGAACTCACTCAGTGTACAGCTTAATAAGTCGATATCTGTGGCTACAAGGTTTAGGGTGCGCAACGCACGCGTTAGAGGCGCTTCGCTTAGCAAATTAGTGCGTCCGCGCGGCACCGTCAACAATGTATATATGTATATCAAGTGATGAATGCTTGTCTGTATTATCAGTGGCCGCACATTCAGCTATTCAGAGTGAAGATTGCAAGAATATTTTCTATCCTATAAAACAGCTATCAGTTTTCATCTATAAATGTAACTATAGGTACCTACTATTACTAAGACCGCTCCTCAAACATCCACGACAACGATCGCTCTAATTATGTATATGATTTACCTACCTAAGATATTTATTACGATACAACAATAAGCAAGGTGAAGAGAGAGAGAGAGAGAGAGATAAATGAAAAGTTTGTTTTTTAAACTAAGGCTTTAAGGTCAACGGCTGCTCCTTAGAAGTGGAAGTGTCCACGAACTATTTTAATTTCGTAACGAAAAATTATTATGCTTACGCTCCAATCATAGGTGCAACTGCATTATAAAAATCTTCCTGATCCCCTGATGTTCCTAACGTCAGTTTGGGGTCCATCCATCCATCATTATTCAAACGTAGAACCCATAACGGTTCTCCAATAACGTACCCGTCACCGCCAGTTTGGATATAATTTACATTTTCAGCACTATTACTTGTTCTTACATTATTATCAGCGATATCTTCAATACCACTTAATATTTTGGCGCTAATAAGTAATAACAGCATTGTTATAAGAATGTTAGTAATGAACTAAATTGCTAAGTAGTAAAGCTGTAATGCGTAATTTATTTAACAGCTGAGCAAACAGCGTAATAAGTATTGTTATACTATTATTGCCAAGATTAACCTCACTAACGGCAGAGGATAGGCTTATATTGCTGCACGAATGGCGTAGTGGTTTAAGCGGTCATCTCTCCATTCCTACTGCGCTGAGTGTTGTGGGTTCGATCCCCACATGGGGCAGCACTTTGTGTGATCCACTAATCGTTGTTCTGAGTCTGGGTGTTCGTTCCATGTATGTCTGTTAAGTCCCCCGCGACACAGGAAATATTCCTAATGTGGGACTTGTCTTTTATAAAGAAAGAAAAATATTTCTCCTATACTCGTATATGTACACCAGCTAGGTAAAGGGGTAGGTACCTCCATTCTTATACCCTTTACTCGTATATAAAATGTAACAGAGACTCACTGTCGAACACAATCATATCAAATACTTAATGGCTAAATAGTTCTTTCTCATTCTCACTTGCATGCGTTTAACATGCCAACGCAATAATAAATCAAACAATACCATGAATGTTTCTATAAATGTTTGTTGTCTTATACAAAAACTGCAACGTGTCTTCACAGTTTATTATTTGTAACAACACAGCTTATCAGATTCGTGGGAAAGCGGAAGTAAATTATCGCTTAGTTACCATTATTAAAACCATTTATCATGAAAATATTATATGTACTTAATGAAGCACATATGCCGTTTCATGCCTTCTTTGCTTTTGTAATTACAGCATTTTTCGGTTACCGGTAAAACGACACATCGTTCGTGCAGACCAGAAGAGTTTGCTATCAGACACTTCTGGCCCGCACGAGTGATGAGCTTGAACTAACTGTGCTCATGCTGCATCTAAGCACAGTTTAGTTGGTGAAATTGTTAGAGTGCAAAGAGAAGGAAAACTCGTCTGGACAGCGTGGTATAGTAGGCAAAACCCTTTGAGAGGACCTATGACCAGCAGTGGACTATTAAAGGCTGTCGATGATGATGAGTAGGATATATATTTCCTACTATAATGGACCTAATAAAAACAAATCGTTTACAACAAAAAATTTTTTTTGTTACTTGAGAGCTGTTCTTTTTTTTTATTCTAAAAGCAAATACGGTACTTAACGATCTGAAATCAGTATGACTCCCTAAAGTTGCTCATTTATACAAGTTTGCTTAAGGGTTGAGGTAGACTGTAGGCTGGACTGGTGACACGGATAAAATACCTACTAATCGCACAGCGTCGAGCACACCGCAGCTGTGTGACATCATTATCGCTGGGACTAAAATTATAGTTGGCAAAAACCGCCCTCTCCTTCGGACATAAAGGTGCGTCTAGAAACTTCTACACGATAAAAAAGAAAATGTAAGAATAAAATATGCTAGCTTTTAAGCAGCTATGGAATGAGGCGAACAACTGGATTCTATTAAAAACGACTATAATAAAACACATTAAATCTTTAAAATTTCAATTTATTAAACTTCATTATTATTAGTTTCCATCACTAGTATGATCAGTATTGCTATTGTAAAAAAATATTTAATAATAACATAAATTGTTCTTATTGTGCTTTATTTCCTCTTGTGATAGAAATACTGATCACACTGGAATATTTATCACTTAAATATAAACCTCCTTTCTAAGGAGAGGCCTATGTCCAGCAGTGGACTAGTATAGGCTGTTGATGATGATGATGATGATGAAATATAAATCTAAAAATATTTTTTTGGCAATGACTACATTGTCTATCAGTTTTCTATTATAAATTTAAACTTAGACCTTTATGGGAACAAGACAAAAAAAAAACATTTCAGAAACAACAGTACAGTCTTATTTCTTCTACATGTCAATTGGCTTAGTTTTTCTTAAGTAGATGTAAGTGAGCATTAGTTTTATACACAATCTATACTAATATTATAAAGCTGAAGAGTTTGTTTGTTTGTTAGTTTGTTTGTTTGTTTGAACGCGCTAATCTCAGGAACTACTGGTCCGATTTGAAAAATTCTTTTAGTGTTAGATAGCACATTTATCGAGGAAGGCTATAGGCTATATATCATCACGCTAAGACCAATAGGAGCGGAGCACCAATGAAGAATGTTTCAAAAACGGAGAAAATTTGTTACTGTTGAGAGACGCAGACGAAGTTGCGCGAGTCAGCTAGTTATTTGATAATTATCAATGGGCGAACACCAGATATTATCATCATTAGACAATAACCGGTTTCTCTACTGTATTTAATTGTATTTTCTTTTTACCTATAGTCTGTTTTTTAATCTCGTAGACTAAACTGACATTACAAGTGTTGTCAGTTTATTGCAATTCTTAAATAGTGATGTGGCACAACCGAAACTTAGCGTTAATAAAATCAAGTATCGTTTTTTTACAATAAGTTATCCTCAAATAATGTGTTTATCCTGAAATAATGTGTAGGTACTTATTTAAAACGTAATAATACAACATTACAAAGTAAAACATATATTTTTAATTACATAACTTAATTACAGGTATTCGCGTTAATCTGATTCAGATAATGACTCCATGTCTGAGGAATATTCTGAATCATCAGAATCGCCACCTACTTCTATGATAAACCTATCAGTAATGTCGTCGGTTATATGGCCCAGATGACACATTTGATCTTCAATTTTAATTACATGGACTACACAGTCTTTCCACCGCTGCGGGGTCACTTGACGAAGCCCTTCTTCAAAAAGGCTTCGTACTTCATTCATTTTGAATGTTTTATTATTTTTAGTGACATGCCCCTTTACTTGAGCCCAGACCAACTCAATCGTTCGAATTACGTATTCGTACAATTGTTCGTATGGTGTCAAGTTCCATAATTGCCGTATTTTTTAAGTTCTGCCACTTCGTAAGAGAAAAAGGTTAAGATTGCCGTTTTAACGCGTACGGGACCAACACTGGTGGCGTCTATAATTCGTTTTTTTGTTTTATTTAAAGGCATCGAAACATGGTCGGATTACGCATAGCGTTTCGTGGTCAGATTTCCCTGGTAGTTTGTAGCACGTCGTGCAGCCGTGTGTACGTACGTGAATTTTAAATATAAAACTTTGAATGAAAATTAAATTCGTCTATTATAAATAAAAAGTTACGATTCAACAAACCGGTATCGTAGGTCCAACACTGCACAAAAGTGCTGGCAGCATTATTTGTAAATTTGACATTTGCATGTGTCAATTTAGTCTACGAGATTAAAAAACAGGCTATAGTAAATTATGTTAAAATGAAACAAATAGTATAAAAATAAACTACAACATCTTTGTAGTCATTGCCTTATACAGGTGTTACAGAAAAGTGTTAAATACTGTAGGAGACTCATAGTTCGGTACAAATGCCTCAACCGGAGTGATAGCCTCACAGAAAATCTCTGTCTAGCATTACTTTCGTTATTTTAAGTGAGTTACTGAGGTTAATGGAGCAAATCCTCCTGATTCCGAGGGGGGGGGGGGGGGATTCATGAGCGGCTGTAGTCTCTTACCATCAGGTGACCCATCTGCACCTCTCCCTTCAACATTTTCTTTCTAATTTAGGTTTTAAGGTAAAATTAACTCTTTTTTTTCAATATCCATGACTCTCTAAAGTTTGATAACAAGATTCTGTAACAGCCTGTATTCATATAACAATTGCCCATTTCCTCTTATACTTGGAATGTATTTCAGGTTATGTGGTAGCAAATAAGTAAAGTAACGCTTTCGCGAACTGTACGATTTCGGAGCCACCAAGCTTTGATTCTCCATACACACGGTCAACAAATGTTATTGGCACTTCTCCTATTGTGTACTCCAGTTGGCGTGCTCTGAAAAGAATCCAATAAAGATCAATGCTCTGTAAAAAAGAACATGTTAAAAAAAATATTTTACTACTAAAATGTTTCTTCATGTTGGTATTATGTGAATATTGCTACAAAAAATGTCTCTATACAATGACAATGCAAAATTTTAGTATTAAATTTAATAATAATAACTTCACACATTTCACACACAGCAGTATGATTCCAAACTAGGCAGAGCTTACCAGACTGCTAACTTACTTAAATATTTCTAAATGCATTCCTACTAGAGTTGTGTAGCTCCTGAATGAGTGATATAAAAGATGTATATCATTCACGACGATAAAATGTATCACTCACTCACACTAGCTCCGAATATATCAGTAACTCAGTACTAGCTCACTAGATCATTAGATCACTAGCTCAACGACGCCGATCTTTGTTTCATGAGCGAGTGAGACTAAAGATAAATGAGTGAGATAGATGATGGTTGAGTTCACGCAAGTTTCTTTATGCAAAATGTACATTATTTCTATAGGATCAAAATTTAATATTAGGTACTTAAGAATTAAGCCTGCCAAGTACAAGGAAAATCAAATTATGTATGATTTCTGTTATACAACCTAAAAAAAAAGTACAAGAAATAATTTCTTTTTTTAAATATTATATAAAAGGGTGTTAATAATTATGTAATCTTATCAAAATGAATAAATTTTATTTAAAAAAAAAAGGTTAAAAATGTAGTTTCAAAAACTGAATTTAGGTTAATATGAAAATAAAGAAAGGTTTGTATGGCGAGAGAGGCTTAAAGTGGCTTAAAGACTTAGATGAAGAAATGAATTAATTGAGAGACCATCAATTGAATCGGATCAATGAGCTAGTGATCTAAATGAGTTGGTGAGCTAAATGAGTTGGTGAGCTAAATGATTTAGTGAGCTAAATGAGCTAGTGAGCTAGATGAGTGATATATATCTTTTGAGCGAAATGATATGTATCAATCTTTTCAGCTCAGTGATACATTTTGCGCACCACTAATTCCTACATATTATAGGTAAATTATACCCAGACACAGAACTGATGACCATGCTTATCACACAATTATTTGTCTTGGGTGAGAATCGAAACTACAACCTCCAGTACAATAAGTCAGTAATAAAACATAACAATCCACTTGAAAACCAAAGGGCTATTCCAGAAGTATAGAAATTAAACAGTGTTACAGACTGTCAATTTGAAATTCGACTTTTCAATGATAGTATTCCAAATTTAATTCATAAAAATTCCACTTAAAAATGGTAATTATGGAACTCTTTGAATTAAAATAAAAAAAAAATAACAAAAACATTATGTTACCTAATGATCATTTCCATTTGGAAGACATAACCCTTGGACACACAGCTGTCTATCAATTTTTGTAGAATATCCTTTTTGTACAACCTGAAATAGAAAGTTATCTTATGAGAAACGAATAGGAACACCCACATCATTCATGGTCCATGTGGTGACTGATTAAGAATACAGAGTGTCAACACCCCTATTCATCCCGTGGGTGTCATAAGAGCGGACTAAGGGAGAAAACTATGCAGAAAAACAGCATTGCAGAGAAAAGGAAAACTTGACACAAACCCTATACCAACACGTCTGGCCAGCGTGGTATAGTAGGCCAAAACCTCCTTTCTAAGGAGCAGCTTATGTCCAGCAGTGGACTTTTATAGGCTGTTGATGTGATGTGATGTGACATTATTTATACCCCAAGGGGTAATCAAACAACAACCTTGCAGAGAAAAGGAAAACTGGACACAAACCCTATACCAACCTGTCCGGCCAGCGTGGTATAGTAGGCCAAAACCTCCTTTCTAAGGAGAGGCTTATGTCCAGCAGTGGACTATTAAAGGCTGTTGATGAAGGGGTAATCAGAGGATTATGTAAATGCCAGCCAGGCTTATTTAAATGTCGAGCAGGTACTTCTGTAGTTTTTTCTTTGTTAATTCCACAGAAATCTAACATATTTTTTACCTTTTAGCTAGAAGTCCTTCTAGCTGTTGGAAACCTATCCAAGAATGTGCTTCCTACATCTACACTATGTGCTTCCTACCTCTACATTACCTACCAGAAATAAAACACTAGGGTGTTACAATTTCTTACCTAAAAGATCCAGTTAGATCTGAAGCCCCAGGCCTCAGAAGGAGTTGGGTGACAAAGTTAGCTCCACGGGAAATTAGTTTCCTCTTAAAGTCCCAGCCATGAACACCACCATCTTCTCTGTATCGGGTACCAGAAACTACATCATAGTCATGCTGCCTCTGCAGTTCTATGAACTTAGGAATGAATTTAGGCTGTAAACAAACGAGCATAACATTAAAATACTGAGCAGAAAAATATAAGGAAGTAAGATTTTTTATTTTTAAGTAAGAAAAAAAAAAAAAAAAAAAAAAAAAAAACTTAATAATAGCGCCCCTCCCGCGTTTGAAGTACATAACTTAAAAAACTCGTAAATATATTACGATAGTTGGCATTTTTCACGATTGGGAAGTAACAATATCCTGTTTTTTTTTTTATATTAAACGGTATTATATTATGATTTTAGCGTCCCCTGACACTGCCGCCCGGGGCGGATGCCCCCACCCCCCCCCCAAATTCCGAAACTGGTGTCTTTAATACTTATTTAAAATTAATTTTCGTCTAAGCTCTTAAATAAGTTTCTTAAACATTATAAAAACAGATACGTTAATATAATTACATGGTGACTCAAGTCTGCGTCCATAATAATGATGAAATTGCCGGTAGCATGCTTTATTCCATGTATGTACGCCGTACCAAGACCTAGTTTCTTTTCCCGGGGCCGAAGCACTATCTTACTGGATCCATAGATTTTTTGCAGTTTTTTAGCAATGTCCAAAGTACCATCTGGACTTCCATCGTCAATAATAATAACTTCGTAATCGTACCCACTGAAAAAGATAATAGTTATGATGATGACCAAAACAATTATGTTAAACAATATGTTTAGGTGTTTAAATAATATAATACATATTACCTGTTGTCTAAATATTTTACAATAAGCCATATTATGATGGGCAAGTTCTCTCTTTCATTGTAAGTCGGCAGTAAAATTGAATATTTGTCGCTTTTTGTAATTTCAGAGTCTGACGCCGTGGCCGCCATGGTGTCAAACGAATGTCACATCACAAAAGAAGTTGTCATTGTCAAAATGAACAGAAAAGTGAAGGAAAGGAAATAACACAAAAAACAAGTTATTATAAGTGACATAAAAAAAATATATTCTTATCTAAAGACCTACACGTGATCATCCAAAATAAACATTAAAAATAATCCAATGCAAAACGTTTTCATATTTAATTCATGATTATCAAATAAAATCCTTCCGTATTACGTTTCTATTCTGTGTTGTCTGAAGTAAAATCTCATAGTCATAGTTTTTTTCAAAAAACGCCAATAAAAATATTAAATCTTGGGATCGTTTTTGACGTGACAACGTCTTATAATTTGATAGAGCCGGCTGCACGCACGAAAAAACATGACTCATGCGGCGTTACCTCGCTCTGAGGCGTTCCATTTAAGGCGTGAAGTGCAAGCGAGAGCGCGCAACGAGCGACAAAGAGGCACAATCGGCCTCCGCGTTCGGCAGCGTTCGACATCTGTCACTCTCAAGTAGGAACTTGAGTGAGCGATGCGTCCGCGTGGACAGCTACTACTCGTATACAATAATAAATTTTTGAAAAATGCAACGATTCCATCAGTATTTTCTTATGACGTTGTCACGTTCAACCATCGTCAGTAAACCGACTTTACAGACAACCGATTTTTTTTGTAGATCTGAATAATATAAAGTAAAGTAATAAGTTAGTTTTAGTAATTAGTTAGATTTAGTAGATTACTTATCTAACTGGTATATTAACTGTTATAGTAATTTTTCTGTGTATAAATTATGAGAATAAACTCAATACACTATTTTCAAGGTTTCTAGCTTATAAAGATGCGTGAAAAGAATCTATCTGTGAAAAGTATATATACTAATGTCAGCTGTCAAAATATTGTCAACAAACAGTAGACGTCGTAAAGTAAAATTTACGTATTCTTCACCTTCTATTTAATGAAAGTTAGATTACGAAATACGGCTATTAAAACGCATACTCTCAAAAATATTTTAAATGTTGATTCTGTTATATTCCAAATCATTTAACGATGTTACGAAATAAAAACTATTAGAATAAATTACGATAAAACATGGGAAAAACGAGCAAAGTGGTAATTTGTGGTATGAAAGGGGTGGGGAAGACTGCTATATTAGAGCAGTTAATATATGGAAATGTTAATTTAAAGTCGTCATTTTACCCTACTATCGAGGATATCTACGTGGCGAATATTGAGACCGACAGAGGGACCAAAGAAAGAGTCTGCTTCTATGATACAGCGGGTTTGGAACCCCCGCTTACAGGCGAGTTGAAAGGTTTAGCCCAGTTTGATTTGTTACTGCTTGTGTGCCTGTACAGACCACTGCTTTGGTTTTTACTTTTCTTTTGTTAAAGCAGAGAGCCTTACTTATATTTTTTTATGGACCTAACTTGCATACCTATGTACTCTAAAGGAAAAAAGAAGTTCTTTGCATAGCTTTAATTGCCCAGCAAGACTTAAATAATTTCGATGGCACATAACAGCTTATTAAAACAGGGTTCTTTTTACTTTTATTTTATCTATTATTTTGTGATCTTTTTAATTCTTGCACAGAAGCAATAGCAATCACCCCGAAATGCACTCATAAATTGTATTAATGTAAAAAGTATTTATCGCATAAAATTCACTATTATTCATCAAATTTAGTGTCTAAGGTTATGTAGAAGTTAAGAGGGTAAATACTCTTCTATTTACATAAAAGGTCACCTATGCTCTCTAGTAACTTAATAAATATATTTATTAATCAATCATTGTTTAACTTCTGTGTAAATTAACCAGAAATTTGGCTTCTATAATAGATAAGTCAACTTTTGGCTCAATTTTATATGTTCAATAATATATTGCCTGTAAATACTTCTACTTCTTGAAATGTTGATATGTACAAATTATAATGTAATATAGCTAGAATGCAACTAAGTACATCTATATAGATATAATAGATGTCAGAATTGATGACACAATCACTGAAGGGGCTATGTAAATCACTGTTCTATTTATAAATACATATTTAGCCAACTCTATGGTTATGAGAGCTGAGGTTTAGTTGGTGTTAAGGAAACACTAATTACATTTTGTCACTCTTATGTCAAAGTGGGCCTGTTTCTTAATTAGAATCAGAATATTATGAGTTCAAAGGAACATAAATTATACATTGTATTAAACAATGTGGCAGAAGAAAAATATGTTTAAGGTTTCTAAGAACAGTGAAAACTGTATTGGCAGGACCACCACAGTCGCCAACAATGCAGTTGACTGCAAATCAAGTACTCCAGCGACACTACCTCAGCTTTGCAGAAGGATTTGTAATGGTTTATGACACCACCAGGCCTGAGTCTCTTGATGTGCTCATGTATTTGAAGAAAGATATTGATAGGAATAAAGATAAGAAAGAGGTAAGTCCTGCCTAAATTAAAGTCATAGGAAGTCATGAACATTTGTCTGATAAAGCTTTCGACTGTGTTAGACAGTTTCATATTATGTTATGAATTCCTTCACAGAACTCTTATCTTAAGTGCATTTGGTACTTGGTGTAGTTTCCATTGGCTTACATGAGCCATAAATCATAATATGATGAATTAATAATCATTTGATATGGGTGTGCCACAAGGTTCTCTCTTTGGTCCCATCTAGTAACAACACAAGTATTTTTTGCACTTCCGGTTTTATTTAAAATTTATTTATTTATCGTAGGTAGTGATGCTAGTTATTGGTAATCGCACGGGTCCTGACGATGTTAACAGCTTAGAAAACACTTGTTCGAAAGCAGCGAACTGGTGTGCTCGGGAAAAGGTACGTCATTTCGAAGTATCAGCTATGGACCGACCATCATTGTACGAACCGTTTATTTTTATGACGACGCGCCTCAACCCGGTGCAAAATAAAACTGCGTTCCCTCAATTGAGTACTTTGAGTAAGCTAACTCAGAAAAATAATAAAAGTGAGGCTATGTAACGGTACGTTTTAAGTCTATGCCCGTTTTGCTATCAACCTTGAAGGTTGTTTGTAATGTCTGTGGTATTTTGTGAGCTGTCAAAATTTAGCGGTGGTTTTCGTATTGATAAGTTGCACAATGCTTTTAAAATGTTGCAAACGCTTATATTGAGTCAGTCAGTACATAGTTTATAATTTACTACTTAAGCTCTATTGACTCTGCATGTTTCCTGAAATGGTTATCGAAACCTAGTCGAATGCCATGTTTTGACAGCTTACATATAAGTGTGAGTGTGGCATACTGTAGAATATTTCTTGATATACCCTCTATGCCCTTATATTCTCCCTAAGATCTTTACGTAGGTCGTAGCCAGAAATAGTTTACGTAAAGTGTGGATATGGTTTATTCACAAATCCAGACACAGCTTTAATGTCAGTGTGTTGTATAAAATTATTGAGATATATCAAGAAGTATTCCACTTCATCACTCTTTCATCCGATTTTAATCACGTTTTAAGTCAAATTATATTTTATGTTACGCGTTTTAGGATCTATTTCAGAATCTCAGAATTCAAATCAGAACTAATTAAACTTTAGAATTTAGTTGATATATTTACGCTTACATTTTATTACGAGGATCAAGAATATATTTTAATTTTAACCACAATTATAAGAAGTGGAATAGAGAGAATGCAACTCCAATACGTAACTAATGAATACTAAAGATTTATTATTAGTTCTGAATGTTTAAATTAATATCGTATACATTTATATTCTAAAACAGATCCTAAAGACTAACAGTTTGATTGATAAGGATGGATAGTTAGCAAAACATTTGTATTATATACAATTAATTATAAATCAATTTAACTTACATATACTTGATAAAATTGTATTATCAACTTGTATTATTTTAGATCTCGCGCTTAATGAATTATAAATTATTTTTATGTATGAATAAACTATTCTATCAATGAATTTCTATTGGACGGAAATGAAAAATTATTTTAAGTTTACAATAGCACAATGGATTTGAAACGCTGTTGACTCGACACACACAGCTTGATTAAATTGTAGTTCATTGAAGGATGAAAGTAGCAGATACCTCTCCGAAGCTCTCTCTAACTACCAACGTCAGTACAGCCCAAGATCTAGGACGATGTGAACTAACTAAATACTTTTAAGAAACAATATTAAATTTAAGGTATGACCATAGATTAGAGGGAAGAGTATAGGTACATAACATCCTTTCCAGAAATCTCTGGTCTTTAATAGGTGTCAAAAACACTTATTATTCGCGCGCTAATTTAGAAATTTTGGAATTTAACATCTAAATAGCTTTCAAGTTAGTTTTATAAATTCAATTAAGATGAAAATGTACTTAGAAAATGTATTAAATAAAATCTCTTTACTGTCATGTTAATTATATTTGAATTTAGTTAAATAAAACGGAAAAGTGATGAATAGCATTTTACGTCGCGGTTCTATCTTCGGATACGCAAAAATTACGTAAGTATGTCTCTTAACAACAACATGTAAAATATTTATTTTATTTATTTATACTTCCTGCAAATACATTGTCGTCATAGCTTGAATACTAAGTATTGCCATTAATATCAAAATAATTTCAAATGGTTATTGCTTTAGTAGCTTAACTATGTAAACAAATCTTGGAAATCAGTTTGAACCTACCTTTAATCATTGTCGTATCGAATTCAAACTTTTAGGTACGGTTTTCTAATTCAAGCCCTCATTGGTCTTAAAATCCAAAAAAAGACCAGAAATATATATTTTAGCAAAACATGAACATTTGAGACCGATGATCCTTAGAACAGCATTTTTTATGTCTAAAAGCGTAGTACTTAAGGCGACAAAAGCCCCGTAATTGTTTTCAACATTATATATTTCGTACTTAACTATTATCGCGAAAATGTCATGTCATGTTTGTGTGGAAATGTTTTGGGGGCATAGATTTGTTAAAAGTGTCTAAATATTAGGCTATGTACTTATGAGCGAATTTAGTTTACTAGTTATAAGAATTTAGTGCAATATATTGACATTTAAATACCAAGCAATGCTGAATTATCACCTTCTAAAAGCGAACATTAATAATAATATATTGCTATGTAATTTTTATTGTTAAAAGTGTTATTGAATTTTCGCGGCTTTTGTGCATATTAGTGTTATATTTTTAAAGTAACAGTAACTTACACGTCTAATAAATTATTATCTTGATATTTTTACTAAATTTCTGAACCTACCTATTTGTATACCTATTGTAATAAGTTATTTTACTTAAATAATAGTATCACTTCATTTCTGGTCCGAACTGTAGAGAGTTACCTTTACCTTACTTTTCATGTATTACGCATGGAACATTCTTTTTGTCCGGTCTATGGTCCTAAAGAGAGACAAAAGGCAGACAAAGAGAGTGATAGTGAAAGAGACAGCCTTGGTCTCCGCTTGACTGACTGAAACTGTTTTTTGTATAATAATATGTATAGTTTAAATGAATTTTTTTGTAAGATAATAATTTGTAAAACCTATTTCATAATACTGCTTTGTACGTTTGTTTAGCGTCGGTAAATATTATTAAAAAGCTAAGATACTAGTTGGATATAGCAAAGTTTCCATAAAACTGTTTAACTTGTTTTAGAAAATAATTGACAAAACTTTTTATTTCTCAAAATCATTAAAAGAATAATTATATATATGACCCTAAAAAAAGACCACAATTTTCTGTATTGTGTAATATATGTTCGACATTTATAGAATCTCATTTTATTAGAATTAGTTTTATTACCTTTTAATAGGACTTTGGGGTCAAAATACGAGTATATGAGGGCAATGGACGTTTATGAATCTCGATACTAAAACTAAAAGTACATTGACTATCAACCAAATATGTAAATATAGGTAAAATTATATAGCTTAAAGCTTGGCAATTGTATCATATTTGACCTCTATTCGGCTAATTTTATTATGATGTTGAGCTTAGTAAAAGAATTTGTACAAAAATATTCATGATTAAATCGTAAGAAAATACTTATTTGGAATATATGAAGTGGGATATAGCGTTACAATTCTATTAAATGTAGTATAGTTTTTGTTACACTGTTTGTTTTATTGCCTTTTTTTTTTGTGCGGAACTCCCCTCGGATACCACCCACCAGTGGGTGATTATGTCGGACTCGAACCGACCAAAAACAGAACGCCGTCTCCAGGTACCAGTAGCCGGGGAACCAGGTATACCCTAGAAAGGAAAGCCCTAGTACCCCGACGTACCTCAGGCCATCTACGGCTTATAGATGACCCCTCCTGTGTAGGAACCCGGATGTTCCCTTCCTGCTCAGAAGGGCGCGTTACCCACCCCGGCCTGCTCCTGCTAAAGTGACAGATGACCTCGCCAGGCCCGGTCTCTGGCCTGGCGAGCCGGGAGGGTTCTGAACCTCTCCCGGTCTCGCTCCGCCGTCTCTCGCTCCATGGCCGCAATCATGTCACCGAGCGAGAGATCACCCACCCCGATGGCCGCCACGAGGTCGCGCCTCTGCTCCACCCACGCCGGGCATTCTGCTAGAGTGTGAGGCGCCGTGTCCACGGTCCGGCCATCGCAGTGGTGGTACCCAGGCGTTGGCTCCTTGCGGATCAGACACAGGTGATCCCCGAAGCATCCTTTCCCAGTGATCACCTGCGTCAACTGGTATGAGAGGGTCCCATAATGCCTCTCGAGCCAATCCTCCATAACGGGTCTTACCGCCGCGATAACAGCGTGCCCATTGTTTTATTGCCCTGACACGACGTTGGTAGCATGCCTTGAAATAAATGATATACCATGATTCATTATAGTCCATGAATGACCCTTAGTGTCTAAGCATACGAGTACTATGCCGATATTATGCGACCGAAGTTTGGCGTGATTACGCCTGCAATGCTATTTGCCGAAATTACGTTGCGTTAAAAAGTACAGCCGAACTTGGGTCGGGCATAAGTTAGACGACAACGTATTTTAAATAGCAACACATACACGACGAAAGTATGGTTCGATTGCTGGGGGTGAACCAAGGTGGGGGCAGCTGTGGTCTGGCAGGCCTGCGCCATCCCGCCTCAAAAGGTATAACGGAACCTTTATAATAGAACTTTGTTTTCCGTCCGTTTTAGACAACAGTACACGACACCACGATAGCGCTCCAAACACTGAATTTTGCGCAACCGAATTTCTGTCGTACAATTTCCGCGCTTATGGTGTCATATCAGCGGAGTACGTCGGAATGTAAAATCAGATGTCGTTCGCGTACCTTCGGAATAGTGTGTTTAGACACTTAAAGTCGACCTTACGCGATAACATGTTATCGATATTTTAGTTTATTTACTGACAGCGAGCTTTGCGGTTAGGTATTGGAGCGTCATATAAATTATACGCAAGAGAATTTCACAGAACATAATCCTAGGGATAAAACAATTTCAAAGCTATGAGGCTCTTTACCTATTTCGAAATTTAATTACTTAGTAGTTTGAGACTTTGTTTAACCACGTTTTCATTTTATTAATTAGGCAATCGGCTCGCCCCTTATTACGTGATACTGAGGTTCTAGACGACAAAGTTTGGACGGGTATTAGCGGTCTACCTCTTTTGGAATAAATCTCGCTGCTTAATGTATGTAACTTAATATAATTCATTTACAAAATACTCATATTTGTATTTTCTGCGAAAGTTTTCGTTTTCGAAGGGTTTCGTAATAAAAATAGTCAAGTTGATGGCATAATTTTATTTTTGCATTTCAAAATGTAATTACAATCGTCTTAAACATTAATATCCTTTGTTTGCCTACATCTAGTGCGGGATGTCATCCCTCTACGAAAACAGTTGCAGCTCGGCGAGCGGTCAACTGCGTGTAACTAATGCGTTTACTACGCGGACTGTTTATGCGCTGTTATGAATACTACTGAATAATGTGATTAAAAAAGTATAACAATGGTACTTGCAGGAATAAATAAGGCATTAAGTTGGCTTTAATCTCAAAGCGATAAGGCTTTCGAAATTATTTTATTACACTACTTTATCTACCTGAAAATTAAAACAAAGTTTACAGGTATGTACCGAAAAAGTCACAAAGTCATTGAAGGAATAATCACTTTTGTAGAGGGAAGAAATATTAGGTAGGTTAAGATAGAATTTAAAACTTTTTGAATAAGCAGAAATAAAGTTAATTATTTAAATGTCGTTACAATAGTATAACAGCGCATATAAGCCCTTAAAATTCGAAAATGGATTTAACAATTACATTACCAATCGATTTATTTAGGTATGTACCTATAGCTATTCAGAATTAATACAAAAAATATGTAATAGGTAGTGTAGGTAGTAAGGGAAGCAAATTAAATATATCTACATTTCCACAATGTATTTTATACACATATTTTCTGTGAAATCTTGTAAACAAGACTTTGTAAAACTTACATAATTGTCATTAAACCCCATTACATAACAATAAGTAAGAAGTAAAAACAATTTCGAAGCTCTTTAATTTTTTTTAGCGATTAATGTCTGTACTTTACACAACGTTGTAGTAATTAAATAATTTTTACTATATTTGGTATCGAGATGAGTTCTGGATCGAAAAAATCAACTCAAAGCTATAAGAAATTTAGTAGTAAATGTCAATGTGGTATATTATTTCGATACTATTTTCTTTTTCTGTGTGTAAGTGTTGCCACACTCCCCATAGAGCTTAATGACGTCCCAATAATAATAATAAAAAAAACAAATACAACATAGAAATGTTAGCGATTCTTTAAATAAGTACTAAAATGTTTTATAAATCACTTAATTATTATAATATTATTAGTAAGCTTTTTCAACCTGTTTGTGACAGCTGTCTCGGAGACAACATTTTTATTTCGTCACTAGTTTATACAGTGACCTTATTTTAGAGCTAATTGGGCAGACTAGGCTTACTTTACTGTCAACTATATTACACATATCATGACTAATTGGCTGATCAGATCATTATAATTTATTTAATTACTTGTATCTTTTGAAAGAGGTGCTAAAATTTTGTTTGAAGCAGTGCTTTTTGATAACTAACTAAAATATCTGACATTTAAAAAGCCACCAGAATTCAACAAATTTTCAAATGTAACGAACTATCGTGTTGCCAACATATTTTTCTTGTTGACAACGATAAAAACAATTATATTCATCATCATCATCATCAACAGCCTTTAACAGTCCACTGCTGGACATAGGCCTCTCCTTAGAAAGGAGGTTTTGGCCTACTATACCACGCTGGCTGGTATATTAATATATGAAATATTATATGCAGTACCATCGAATAACGAGTAAATCCATACCAATACCAATATATTGTTGGTGTTTTGTCCAACAATAAACCTGCCTGCCCGTAACACAGTTCAAACTGGTGTGCGTCGAACGCGTGTAACTAAACTACCGCTAAACTAATCAGTGACTAGCATCGCTGTTTCAGTATCGAATACTAGAACGATTTTTTTTTCTTTCATATATAAAGCAAAATGAGGTAAGTTCGGGAGTATTGGAAATAAACTAAATTATACTTAATATTCGACTACCAGACATTACTAGACTACAAGAAAATATTATCCTACCAACAAATTCATCAAGTACCACAGTCATTCCCATTATAAAAAGTGCTTTCGCAGTCTTTCTCCTTACAGGAAGTCAGGAGACCTTAAGTCAGGAAGTCTAAATCATTATACTACCTGTTACAAATCAGTGGGTTTTATAATACGACTGCAAAAACTTTTGCGTCAGGTCAACAGAGCACTTCCTTACGAAATAATGTTTTGTTTAATGGTTATGTAAAAGTAATTCGCCAATACTCCCATAATTAAATAGCCGTTTTGCGAAACAAATAAATAAAATTATTTTTTAGTCCAATTACCAACTTCTCATTCGTATTTTAATTAAATTTAATACATTTAAAGTGCTTGGGCACTTGACCGTGATTAACACTCATAATGTCATTTTGATCATGGGCGCTATTTTGTACATACTAAGGTTTAAATTACTTTGTAAACATGGCCTAATTTTTATAAATCAAAATTTAGTGAAATTCAACAATTTGTAGAATTACTCAATCAGTGTCGCTGTTGTGTTTTTTTAGTCAAAGTTTAGGTCATATAACCAAATCTTTTTAAAACTCTACTTTTTAAAACATTTTCACTTGAATTTGTTTGATGACCCAAAAAACTTAATAGTATTTATGACTTCATACAATTCTATTTAATTTTACCCTTGATAGCTAGACTCAGCCACCCATGACTTACGTAAGTACAGGCTAACGCTACAGAAATATTTTTTTCAAATTTGACATAACCGTTATTAACGTTTAAAGCCACCACAACGAACACCTCAGACAATCATTTCCCTAACAATTCTCTACTTTCCTCCTCCCATATAGCATACTTTTTATGTAAAAAGTATGCCTAGATGGAAAACATCTAAAACACATCCTAACACAATATTATACATTCCGCTTTCCAACAGTACATACAAAACATAAATATGCGAATAAATATACAGATCTTATTAAGTAATATAATCCATTCTTTAAATATGTCAAACATTATTTCTTTCAGTTTTCATATGATTTGATTACTAATTACTAATTAAGAGTCAAAAGCTAATATCAAAAAATTATATTTTTCCAGTAGCATTATTTCTTAACTGCAGTGGGTTATATAGAACATAGTATAATAACACACTCTGACGACATGCCTTGCTATTGTCGCATCATTTTTTCATGAAACTATTGTCAAAACCATCCAACTGAGTGACAAACAATTCATTATCCGTCCAATTGCTTAGAAATATTTTACTCTGGTTTTAATGGTCATGTGTAATGGTGTCCTGTAGAGAAACAATATCTTTTAAACTGTGGACAAACAGTTTCGCGCGCAAATAGATACAGTGACAGCCAAGGCCCTCAATCACTTAACTACATTTTTTAAAGAGCACGCTTAAATATCACTTTTCCAGCCTATTCTCATAAATCCTGACCGTTCCAACCTGATCGTACTGTAATATATAATAAACTAAATTATCCTCCATCCTACTTATTTTTGACGAGATCTTAGTCTAGTATACCTATCTGTAAAACTAAGTAAGGCTGCCCACAGGTGTGACTAAAGTTGTCACACAGCAAGAGATTCAACAAATCGCTTAAAACGAGCAACAACTTAGCGCTACAGGGCCGGAATATGTGCGACTTAAATGCCCTAGGACTGATAGACAAGATCAACATTTCAATTTCAAAGTTCTTATATTATTTAATTTACTACAAACATGTATTGCTGGGGATAGTTTGGTTGTCTAAACACCTAAAGTTATTATCCGTAATTTCTTATTAGCATGCTGTGCTTAAAGCCGAACATAGCAGAATTATTATTCATAAATGATAAAAAAATTGCTCCCTATTTTTTACCAATGACGTCAGATTTTGCAGGAAAGAAGACTAGACTACAAACGCCTAATCTGTGGTGGTTTTTTTGATTTCTAATTCGAAAGGCTACGACGACAAAATAAGTTGTATGATTTTAAAACTCTCGTAGATATGGATATGTTAATCGTAGTCATTAGTTTGCTAATCAATATTTATACTAAGCCATAATTCTAGCTTAACTGTGATGTAAATTGACTTTATTTCTTGGTAACTTACATTATCTTCAAACCCCGAAAAATCATTTAGATAGAAAGAGTTTTGAGGATAGATCAGTTTATTAACGCAGAGTTCAGATTACCGGTGTTTTTGTTGTCAATTTTAACCGATATTGTTACCGAGTTTATTGACAATAAAATCGAATTTACGTGAATTCTGTTTGAATGTGAATGTAATTCATCTTTGATGATCATTCATTCTAGAATGACCGTAATCAAAGAAGTAGGAAGCTTAAAGAGTGTATATTTTTATTAAATGTAAATTAAATCGAATCGGTACTAACTCAATTGTAAGTATAAACAGTAGCGGGGTTATTTTACACTGCCTGTGTCAAGCCCTAGTCAAATACTTAATTTAAGAAATTAACCATCTCTTTTCCCTAGTAGTGTAAAAAGATGACTAGGGATAGCCCACTAATACGTGCCGTCAATGTCGTTAGCGTATTTCAGATTGTACTAAATTAGATATCACTATGTCTATGTATGTATGTAAATGAATGAAAAAAGTCCTATTTATTAAAAACTAAGATATTCTATACACCTACAGCTATATATTTAGGTAAATTTAACAAACTGAAAAGCTACCTTCAGAACATTACCGCCTTTGATATTTTAATCTATTTTTTTTTCTATATGATGTGCAATATATTATAATATGATAATATTGCCTCTAAGTGATTTCTTTTTAGATATATTTTGGTAGTAAGATTACTTCCATTCGTTTCGATATAAAATGAACCTCATCAATTTACTAAAAATGATTAATCTTACACATAATAAAATTCAGTTTATAGCTGAAAATTTTGGCCGTTTCTTATCTACACCAGAAAACAAAATCGATAAAAATTTAAAATTAACGGTCATTCATCAACGACGTCCATCTTGAATGTGGTTGGCTTGCGGCCTATTGGCTTCATTGCCAACCTACGTACGGTTGTATTTGTGCAATTTGCATTTAGAATTTCCTCATCACTACTGCTCGAGTCATCGAAGCGGCCGGTCGTGCCTACGTCGTCGTCTTCTGAATTGGATGACTGTAAAAAAAAATATCGAGTTATTGTGTACTCTTGAGACCAATATGTTATAACTATTATATCTATCTTATAACTTGGCGTTAAAAATAAAGTTAAATTACTTGTAATTGCAAACAAAACATTTTTTTGCATATTGCAAGCAAATACCAAAAGGTTGAAATTATATTGCTACCAGATGATTACTTAATAAATTTAAATTTCTATTTTATCTGTGTTGTAGCGATATTTCAAGGCTGAAAAGGAGAAAAGCGATTATATCAGATTTAACATTAAATGGCTATTGCTCTTCTGACAGCAAACCCATTGCCAGGAAAACACAAGAAGAGTACAAGCAACAAGATGACACATTTGCGGTGACTTCATCCACTTGGAAGATATAAATCATCATTCCATCTACAACAACCGTACCGTGAGAACAGTAGGTATAATATTTCGTAATATAAATTTTTAATTAATGCAAAGTAAATTTTTAATTATTGCCTACTTGAGCAATTTAATTTTTTAATTGCCTTCTCATCGCCTTCCCTTCTTAACTGTCTTTTCTTTTCTTGTGCGGAAATCGTAGTACAGTAGGGTGTTTATGTCGGACTCGAACCGACCAAAAACCGCACGCCGTCTCGGATACTAGTAGCCGAGGGACCAGGTGTACCCTAGAAAGAAAATCCCTGGTACCTCACATACCTAGGGCCATCCACAGCGTGCAGTACCTGGCCCGCTCCCGGGCCTGGCCTGGAGGCCTGGAGGTTTAGAACTCTCCCGGTCCCGCTCCGCCATCTCCTTAGCAAGCCATAACTTGCTCGCAGAAGGAGACCGCGGAGTTCCACGCACTCTCGCTCCGTACCATGGTGGCAATAATATAACTGAGCGAGAGGACTCTCACTCCGATGGCCACCTCGAGGTCACGCGTCTGCTTCACCCACGCCGGGCATTCTGCCCGCCACTGGAGCGCCATGTCCACGGTCTGGCCACGGCAGTGGTGGCACTTAGGCGTTGGCTCCTTGCTGATCAGTCACAGTTCCGTGATCCGTGATCTAATTCAACTCCCTCCTAATCTTACCATCTGTAACTCCCTAAGTGCCTGGATGACGTCAATAGGTTTGGCCCCTTTTCATGTGCGCGGGGCCAAATTATAATTGGCAAAATATGGATGTTTAACAAACCTTGCGTGTACCGTTAGTCAATAAATGGCCCGTTACTAAGTAGAATGATACGCAGCACCTCCAAAAAGAGTTTAATATATCTGTGTCAGAAGGAATACGTATTGGTTTAACACTGATTGCTGTTTTGGTGTTAACACTGAGTGCTGTGTTAGATTACAACAATTATCTAGAGTGCACTTACAGCTCGCAGTGATAAATTAATTAGTAGTGATATTTGTGTATCAAGTGCATTAGGTTAATGTTTAAAAATACATTTGTAAAAGAAATATAAGGATATACCTACTAAAAATAAGTTAACAAAATCTCACTATAAATCGTAAAAAACTATTGATTAATTTTTAAATAAATGAGTATGTACAGTATAGTATATTGAGTTGTTTCTAGGCCAAATTCTTATAAAGAAAAACATAAAATACTTAAACTAAACTAAATTACACTGGATTGTTTTCTTTGAAAAATATTGAATTTAACGCCAAAATGTTGAAATTGACCTATGATATGGTTTGAATTTATTTTTAACAAACCTACCTTTTTTTTCAAATAAAATAACAGCCTAATGAATGATTTGTTTTAATACAAAGTATAAATTTAAAAGCATGTTTAATAAAATTATGTATATGAAAAAATGCAATATAAGTAACACCTAAAACAATAACCTGATTGTGGCAACTTAAAAGATAGTCGAATCCGCAATAACTCGATCGCAAATCCCACGATACTACTTTTAAAGTTTCCATAGAAGGTAATAACCATGCGATAAATATAAAGCAACTGTAAAAAAAAAACAAGAACCACATACACACCAAGGTTACCCCAACATCATGCAAAGCATGCACATTATTGCAAAAGCATCGCAAGAAATAAGGCATTTTTAAACAAACATTTATTTCTTGGGTCGGCCGCGGGCGATCGCTTGTGGGAGACGCTTATTGGGCCGCTCGTCGCTGCTGTCCACGCCCTAGATATCACATATATACATCACATTTAACATGGAACATTTCAATGTATAAATTCACATATTATATACATCTGCTACAAAAAATAAAAATAAAATGACTATCGTGAGTTTTAACTTTTCTTACAAGCTGACCTAAACCTGAACATTTTTTCCGACCCGAGTTTCGGCTTTTTCCTTTACCTGAGCCGTGAGATCTTATTTTCGGTGTGGATACCTCCGCGGGTTATCACCTCAACGGGATTCAGGGTGTTACCGTGAGACCTGACTTCTTCCCAAATTTCATGATACTAGGTCATTGGGAACTAACCCATAGGTTTTGATTTAGCTGCGGTATGTTAAAATTATTTAAATCGTTGTATCTTTTGATTGCTTGGCAATCCTGTCAGTCTGTCAAGACCATTTGAGAATCAAATACTTCATAATGTCAGTTTCAGAAGCTTTTTTACAACTTCTTGGGGCTATAAACAATATTTAAGTAAAGACCGACAGATAACAGGTTATCTGGTAACAGGTTATCAGGTCAGGTTCGGTACAATTTTTTAAATATATATATAAATATATATTATGTATCACTTAATTATTTTTGTATGATATTTGGACAAATTGTATCGTGATGTGTATTGAGAGAGCTCTAAAAATATATTTGTTTATACTTACATGCATCTCTTTATTTCAAAAACTTGTTAAGTATTTAGGAAAACGAATAAAAAGGCAATTAGAAAAAAAAGTTCAAAGACTGAATCACGGTTATCTTATAAGTAGAAACAAAGAGTAGAAAGACAGTTAAATTGCATTGTTCTGACATTCTGCATAGTTCGTGTAACAGTTTTTGTAACTGTCTTGGCTAAAATGATCAATAGGTAAACATTTTCTTTTGGGATTTCCTAATATTTTTTGAAATCTTTAGTTTATATTACTATCCGAGGCAAACTATTATTTATTATAACTAAACATTCCGCCGAAGTTTCTGGCTGTTATAAAAGTTTTGTTATGTTAGTGTATTAACGTGTAGTAGTAGTAACTCTCATAATACTTACACACAAAAATACACGTAAACACTTATTTTTCATTTAGTTTATCTTATTTGCATTGTTATTATTTGCCTAAAATCTATTACTACTGATTTAAGAGTAAACTATAATAATAGGGACGATGACATCGATTCCCGTAACACAGCCTAGGATAGGGCTCAGGGCTTACGAGGATATGTGAACCATTTTAAGTCTCTCTAGGAAAGACCCATGAGGTACTTTATCACGATAAAGCAGTTTCAAAAACGGTCAACTCCCTCATTTTCTTTAAAATTAATTTCTACACAATAATAAAAAGATTCAGTCTTTGAACTTTGAACCAAAGCCACAAGGTCACAAGTGCAGCTTACATCAAAATCTCCAATAGTGAACTTTGTGGCAGCGGCGTCGGCGACCAGCTGCGCCGGCGCAGGTGGCGCTGATTCCGGCGACAGCACCTAGCCGTTACATCGCCCGTATAATGTTAGTATATTTGCACATTGTACATACTTATAAGTATATGTACAATGTACATTAGCAAAAGCATGGATGTATCGAGTATTGTTATATATTGAATATTCATAAAATGTTGATTATGTGATTAATGGTATGTTGAATTAATTTTTAGGAATTTTTAGTTCCATTGACTTCAGTACTAGTTTTGGCTTGTAAAGCTATTTCCTACGCACTTGATCACAACATCATCTGTCAACGGAGGTGCCGACGCTAACTACCTATATACCTGACTTTGAGTTCGTGGTTATCGGAATAGGGTTCTCGTAAAGGCAATAAATGTTTCGCCTTGGGTTATTCCCGCAACAATTTCCGCAAGATAATAGTTCTATCCATTTTATCAACTTAGATAGTCGGGGTAGGCCAGTTGATTCTCGAATAGGCTGGAGACAGTAGACAGGAGTAGGGATGTTTTAGTGGCTCAAGTGTTGTGGTTCCATCCATGGTTTATGGTACCTATATATATATATATATTCGCTTGCCTGGCCTATTTTTACCACCTTAATTTACTTCATTTACATTCATAAAAAAAGTAATAAGTATAAATGTATTTATATCAGTTGTCTAGTACCCATAGTACAAGCTCTGCTTAGTTTGGGTCTAGATGGCGTTGTGTGAATGTGGTACACTATTATTATTATTTATTTTGAGTAGCTGGCTATAAAATAACCCAACCAAAACACTTTGCACTGTTATAAAATAGGTCCTATCCCAAATAACATTGTCAAAAGGATAGGAAAATCTTTTATTTAGTTACACAATAATCTTTTTGAATAGGAAATAAAGTTATACTAAGTTAAATAACAATGTCGGAATTTTTAAGGCTTACAAGCCTGGCTTTGGAAATATTTATATTTCACTGACGTATTTTGTTTGTCAACACGTGGAAAATATGAATAATGTAATAAGTCGTAGTTATTAAATATATAAGACAATAATCGATACAACCCATTGTTATTTACAGTACACACAAATAATGGAGCGAATCCAGATGGCTGTTGATAAGAAGAATGAATGATGGACCAACACCAACAGGTATTAGACGTGAAGCTAGCTGTAATTAGCACACGGTACTGAACGACGCTCATACATATCTTTGTGATAGACTTCCGAAAGAGGTTGAACTGATATTATAATAATTTATGTGTCAATGCAGATCTTGAGTGACTTGCTTCAAATAGAAAAAGGTATTACACGATAACTGCGAAAGGCATTTATCAAAAAATAAATGTAATATGTAACAGAGACAGAAACGAGTTACTCATTTCGTCTTTCAGTATATACTAATCGATAAGATATATAAAGTTGGCAGTCATAAACATAAAGGAAATTGTAGTACAAGAGAAAATGGCATCAGTATGAAATAGCCAAACCCTGAAAGAAATTGTAGAAGCTGGCGAGTTGGACAGTGGTGATAAAAATTACCTTAAAATGGAAAATGAACGGCGAATAGAATTATAACATCATAGATTTATACGCATAACTCGCAGTCGGCAGTACTGAGTAGATAAAAAAAACCCATATATTTTATTTTATTTTAATTACTGATCCTGTACTTAAGTGATAGTTAAACTTATATTGTGTAAACTGATCAAATGAAAACTCTTTCTGTAGCTGGAGATGTCTTTATAAGTCCAATATGATTGGACCAATATTGGCCAACCAATATGTAAAAACCAATCACTGTCCAAACTAGTCCAAATACTGCAACCAATAAAACCAATATTAATCAAACGCCACCAAATACTTACATCCTGATCACTCATCATTTCCTTAGTAGATACAGTTGTCTCGATCCTCCTAATAGATCCCTGATGGATGTCCACGTCGAAGGTCAGGCATTGGAAGCGGCGGAGTATAAATACCACTGGTATGGGCAGCACTCCTGCCAAAATCATAGCAATTGCTATTGCAAGCACCCATGTTGGGTACGGAGTCTTCACGACGCGACCCTGTTGAAGGCACAGAATAATAGTAAAAGTAAATGTTGTATTTGAATACAGTAGTTTTATTTTTATTTGTAATAACTTAGATGCTCGATATCGATAAATGGAAAGTAGTAATAAATAAGTAATGTGATTCTACCACAGCAATGAGGTTCCGTTGCTTTTTTTTATGACAGTGAATAAAAGTCTTAAGTTCCGTCTTCTAGAATTAGGTATCAAATATTGCGATATTTCATAAAATAGGGGCAAATGAGCAGACGGGTCTCCTTATGGAAAGTGACTACCGTCACCCATGGACCCCTGCAACTTAAGCATCTCAGGTGTGTTGGCAACTTTTAACACCGTATTTCGTTTGACCCACCAAAAACAGGATGTAGAACACTTTATCACTATTAACTGTACTTTTTTCTAAGTTATTAGCTACGCTTTATTGAAAACTTAACGCTAACAATAAACCACAGATCCCTAGTAGAATTATACACAAAATTGTAAAAGGTTTTCGTTCTGGAACCTACGGATCCCTAAAACACTTATGCTAACGCAGTCAAAATTTAATGGTCAATCCGAATGCGCATACGCTGGAACAAGTATTCAACTTTATTCAAGATGTTTAAAGTATTATTCAGTTTCATAGTGTTTGTGAGGTCTCAGTTCGTTTCAGTAGAACTATCAATCGGAACTATCATAGGACAAAAAAATAAGGGATATGATACGTTTTTTGGTATTCCTTATGCTCGTGTTGACCCTGTATGTCCGTTTGGTGTTAGTACCAACTAACTATGTCCTTTATGAAAGGATTTTAAATGATGAACAGAATAAAAATAGTGGCCACTAATAAATAATAGATAATAAAGGTTCGAAATAATTTAGATTTCTTTTTTCAGAAACCAAAAATACACCCTAACTTTACAAAACCTTTCTATGCCAACGATTCGTCAAAAATGTGTCCTCAAATATATAAGGAAGTTGGCGGTACGCTGCAATGTCTTTCTCTCAATATGTATGTGCCTCAAACGATCAACACAAGACGGGCCGTGTTGGTCTGGTTCCCATCTTACTTCAAACATGGCTGTGCAAGTGATTATGGTGGACAACATTTGGTTAAAGAAGATATCATAGTTGTAGTAGTAAATTTTAGACTCGGCATATACGGTTTCAGCTGCCTAAATGAGCCAGCCTTCCCAGGAAATACTGCTTTGCGGGACCAAGATGCCGCATTGAGGTGGATTAAAAACTATATACATAAATTTGGTGGAGACCCTCACGCAGTGACGATCGGCGGTCAAGGTTATGGAGGTGGTTTTGTTGACATACACATGTACTCAGAATTTGAGAGATTGTACGATAAAGCTATCATACAAAGTGGTTCAATTTTTGCCAAAGGATTTTTTGGTAAATCTAATCCATCATCCGTTCTTAAAATAGCGAAGCATCTTGGGCAAACTATTGGCAGAAACACGAGGCCTAGAGATGTCCTACCGTTCTTATCTAAAATTGATCCAGTAAAACTTCTAAATGTCTCAAATATCCTTGATATAAAAGTAAATATTTGTAAAGAACAATATTACAAATCCGGTATCCAAAATTTTATTACTAAGGGGCCACATCATTTGAACAAATTAGATAAAATCAAAGATACAAAAATATTGGTAGGTTATAACAGTATGGAGCTGTTGGGCGTATATGTTCAGGATAATAATAATACTCCGGAGTTTTACAAGTCTTTAGGCAATGTTTTCTATAAAAGGATAAGTCAAACTTTTCAACTGTCTGAAAAAGAAAAACAAGAACTTACAAAACGAATAAGAAAGTTCTATTTAGGTGGGCAAGAAATGAGTCCTGCGACGAGGATTCAGCTCATTGAGTCCAGTTCCGATTTATACGTCAACCATCCTGTTGAAATGTCTGTAGACAGATTCATACACGCTGGAGCTACGGTATATAAATACCTATTTTCATATACTGGAGATAGTCAATTTAAAAATATTAAAGGATCTGGTGCATCAAATGAAGAAGAGCTTAAGTATCTGTTTGAAATGAAAACTAAAATTAAAGGTGGAGAAGGAGGAAGAATAAGAAATACACTGATACGTTTGTGGGCAAATTTTGTTAAATATGGGTAAGATTTGAAGCAGTCTTTTGGCCACTACTTTGCACGCTTTTTTGCCTGTCTAACTTTCAAAACCATTTTTTTAAACGGTTAAATTTGGCCTGTTTTTTAGGCATACTTGGTCAATTTAATTTTATCTTACCAACCTGTCTGTTGAGAGATGTCTGATGTTTGGTACATTCTAAAAAGTATAAGGTTCTAATGATAATAAAATTTATTATAGTCGTATTATTTTATATCCAAGATGGCTGCCACCACAAAATGGTGCCTTATATATTTTTTCACTTCCCCTTCGCTATTGGGAGATTGTGATTATCTTTCTTTTGAATAAAACCATTTAACTGGAAAAATTACCTATTTTATAATACAAATCAACTAATGATATTGTATTTATTTTCAGCAATCCTTCTCCTAAAGGCAAGCCATCATGGTCAAAGGTGACAGGAGAAAGCAGACCTTATCTAGATATTAATTCGGAAACTCAAATGAAGAACCATGTATTCCGACAGCGCATGGCTTTTTTAGACTTGCTGTTTTATAGTTATAGAAAAAAAGTCATGGTCCATTAAAAAAAGAGCCCGAACTTTTGTGATATCATTATGCTTTACTACCATCACTTAGACCCGTTGGGTACAGAGGGCCTAATGTAGGTTTATTTCACTTCTACTCGATCCACACTGAATTCTTCACCAGTCGTCGATTTGATGTGAAATAAACATACACTAGACCCTCAGATTAGCATACCATTAAATTATTATATTATAACTAAAGGAACTCGAGGCACCTGTCTGGCTGCCTTTCGACTGTTTTGGATGTCTTATTTTATTTCATTTAGGAAATTTATATATATTTCCGTACAATTGTGCAGAACCCTCGGTGGCTGAGTCCGACTACTACCGTCGATACGCCGTACGTGCGACGATAATGAAAAAAAAACCGGACAAGTGCGGTCCGGTTTTTCTTTCATTATTAGTATGCTATGAGTATACATACGCTATGAGTCTTCAGAAAACAGCAGTAACTAAAAACGCAGTTGAAATTACTGGAAACGGCTAAGTAATAAATAAATCGTGATTAATAAAGCACCATCTTTTGAGCCTTTTCCTAAACTAGTTTGGGGTAGGTTTTCATCATTCAGTCTACTACGACGCGGCTGGCCTTTTACGTGGAGCGGCTGTCATCAGACCCCCACAACCCAAGTACTATAACTTGTAACTGTAATATCAGTTCGAAGTTCTGAGAAGACTATTATCGGATTTTTTAGGGTTCCAACTACAGGTAAAGATTGCCACAGATGTTCGTATGGCAACCGGGACTGACGGCTTAACGCGCTCTCTGAGGCACGGAGGGGTCTCAATGTGTTAAGAATGGTCACCCATCCATAGATTCTCTCTGATAGAGATCTTTATGCATTTTGTATATAAAGGTTGCTTTTATAACTTCGAGACTATTTGATAACTTCCGTTACCTTGTAGTCTGTAGTCCACTTTCAGTAACTTTTCTTCTTATATTAATAAAAACTTTCTCTTTCTAGACTACCCCTTCTTCAAATCCGCTTTCCAAGCTAACGCCTCTTTAAAAAATTACTCCGTAAGATTGGAGAGATTCTGCAATGTCTTCGGCTCAATATGTATGTGCCACATTCGGCCGCCACGAACAATACACCAATATTGGTTTGGTTCTATTGAGGAGGTTTTGTCTTTGGCAGTTCTGGGGAATATGGAGGCCAACATCGATCATACACGATATAATAGTTATAACAGTAAATTATAGACAGGGCCTTACGGCTTTTTATGTTTAGGTGATGCTTTAGCACCAGGCAATCAAGGGTTGAAGGATTAAATAGCAGCATTTAGATGGATTAAGGAAAATATAGGTGCTTTAGGTGGAAAAGATAATAAAGTGACCATTGCTGGTTAAAGTTATGGGGTTGGAAGCGTAGACCTCCATTTGTGCTCAATGTATTAAACATTATTCGATAAAGCAATTATCCAAAGTGGATCTATATTTAGTGAGGGCTTCTTTGTAAAACCAGATTATAATGCAGCTATTGAAATTGCCAACTATTTGGGTCATAATATAACAACGACAAACGATGCTTTAAATTATTTGGCTAAAGATAACCCTATTGACGTAATGGGCGCTTCAAGGAATTTGAGTTTAAGGCTGACTGCTTGCAAGGAAAAACATTTTGGAAGAGTCCAGAATTTTGTCACAAAAGATCCCTTCCATTTATACAATCAACAGAGAGTAAGAAAAACCATGGTTATGTTATGGTATATGTTATATATTGTTCTGAGAGAATATGAAGTAGATAGTGTTAGTGATATTTTCAGAAGATTCGATTTAGGAGGGAAATCTATTGGACCTGAGTTGATGTTAGAATTAATTGATTATAAGCTTAACAATGCTGCAGAACGGTTGGTCAATAAGTAGACAGAACAAGGCGGTCAAGTATACAAGTATTTGTTTTTGGAGGTAGTGTGTACAAGAATGTAACTGGAGTAGGTGCTATGCATAGGGAGGAGTTGAAGTATCTGTTTGAATTGAGCTCATCATTGAATACTGATGAACAGATAATGATGAGAGACAGAATGACGACGATGTGGACTCAACTTGTTTAATTTGGGTAAGTTTTTTGAAGAAAACCTTAACAAAAGAATTAGTTGAGGTTTTGTAATAGGTCTAAAAGTTTAGGAATGATTTTATTTAACAAAAAGCTCTGAATGACATTCGAGCATTGTACAACTTCAAGGTATATAAGTGTGTATGTGTGTTACATTTTCATAGTTTAGAATGTTTTCTATGTTTTAGGTTGAGATTATTATTGTCATGACTAGAGAAATGTATATATTTATACAAAATTGTTAACCCTTAGGAGCGTAGCAGCGATTATGAGCGCACGTGAAACCGTCGACTAATTATTAAAAACTCCTGGACATACTTCTGAGAAGTTTATCCACGAGTTTTTAGCTAATAATTTCTTTTTAGGAACAAGCTCTGAAATATTTTTTATCAAATTTTAAATTAATATTTCATACTGAGTACTTCACTACAAAATATGTTTTCAGAAACACGACTCCTCAATCAACCAACTTGATGTCAGTGACTTGGATACCAGTAAATGGAAATGGAGAAAATTCCCTATTCAAATATTTTTTCTCAGTTGTTTCATTATTTATTTAAATATTAAAACAAAAACTGCTTTACGAGTTTTAACCTTTATTTCAATCCAGAGAAATCTGTCAACATTTAAACAAATTTGTTTTTATTTTATGGATACAAAGAATACTAGCTATTTCCAAATTTAATTTCATAAAAAGAATTGGACTGCAAAACATACAATAAATTTAAAACATTCAAACTCAAACTCTCTTTATTTCATAAAATTCTCAAAATTGTTTGAAATCGTCTTTTATGTAGACTCTAAAATCATAGATCAACACACACAAAAGTAGCAATCTCTGTTTTGTCAAATAGTAAGCAAATAAATGTAACAAAAATCAAACCCATGCAAAATCTATGATATGCCGATCTACAACCGCCCGTTTCCAAGGGGTTGAGCCTTATGAGAAGACAGGCCAAACAAACTCATGGCATTCTCGAGTTTACCTTATAAGTGTACATTAAAAGAAATATTCTCAGTAGGTTTACCTCGTTAGCATCCCAGGCACCATACGTGGGGTGGTTGATGAGCATGAAGACGAGGGAGGAGAGTAAGATGCAGGTCACGATGAAAGGCCCCACGTAACGCCAGGTGATCTGCCAGTACAGCCCGGGGCGGTAGCCCGTCATCTCGTAGATGTCGTTTGTGAACCTAAAATTAATAAGAAAATAATTTTTGATCAATTTTTCATTTTTTTTTTAAAGAAAACTCCCGCATTAGAATAAGTATATCCTGTGTCGCGGGGAACTTTACAAACATATGAAACGGACACAAAGGACACCCAGACTCAGAACTACAATTTGTGGATCACACAAAGTGTAAGTCCCATTTGGGTATCGGACCCACAGCACTTAGCGTAGTAGTAAGCGGCGTGGCGACCGCTTAAACCATCCGTGCAGTTTATTACGTACATACTTGTACACATGTTATGAACAATAATCAGCAAAAAGGACGGCTGGACTAAGGGACAGTTGTATCAAAGGAAACCAGATGACCAACCTCCCCTCTAATTATAGGGGTACATGTGTGATTTAAACGTGGGTTCATAATACTCTCACCTCTCATGCCCATAGATGTACATGACGGCAACCATCTCGAGCAGTGCTACGACGACCAGGCCGATGGTACCCGCGAAAGAGTCGAACATCTTCAGCCAGTATTCGCCAGCTCCGGTGGTGAAGATTAGACCAACTAAGAAACAGAATCCGCATACCACACCTGAAAATAAAGTAAAATATTATTTTTCCAGATTTCAATTTCGGCATCTGGTAAGATTGTAAAGAATTTAAATTTTATTAATTTTACCTTGCTGCACGGCCTATTCCGACCCTGGGTCAGCTTCATCCGTAAAACCAAAACAAATGCATCCTTTGACAGTAAGGAACCGTTTTCAACTACCAAAATAAATTCTCACGAAATTTGCTTAGACCGAGGAATGTTGATAAATATTGGTGGCAAATTACATCACATCAATCAACTTACCAGTAATCACAGGCTTGCTGAGTCTCTTGAAGAAATCAATATCAAAGATGGTGCAGAGCATGCCCTCCATGATACCTATTTGGCTGCCAAGACCAAGTGACAGTAACATCAGAAAGAAGATGATAGACCAGAATGGTGCTGGAGTCAGCTTTAAGATTGCCTGAGTAAAGACTATGAAAGCCAGACCGGTTCCTTCTGCTGCCTGTAATATCAAAGATAATGTGTACAATAAGTCAGGAATTAATTGTTTTAAATTATTAAGATGTAAACGAAGCTACAATAGCCCTCTTTATGAAATCCTTTGAATCAAAAGAGTTTGAAAATCTCGTTATAGTTATGTCGTCCGAAAAAAAACAATAATTATAATTTGTTTAGGTAAGAATATATGTTAACTAAAGGTTGAAATAAGAAAGTAACCAGGTAAGGATAGAAGAATAGACACACCTAACATTGACAAATTTATGCAAGAAAAGTTGGAAAGCAAATACATTCTAAATATAGCAATCTTACCTCTTCCAGTTGTTTTGACATGGTGCAGCCGGTTAAGTTAAAAGCTTTTACAGCAGTACTATTAAGAAGTGGGAATTCTTCACGGTAGTAGTCTTCGGTCGAGTTTACGGTAAAACCGCCTATGTGCTCGCGGGCTAGAATCTTGATCTCTCTAAAAGATAAGTAAAAGTAAGTAAAAAGTTATGGAACGGATCCATATTTCTTTCATAATTAAGTTTATAAAGTTATTAAATTATACTCCTAGGGGCCCTATATGTTCTAGGAATCCCAAGGGTATTTATTTTCACGCTAAAATAACTTGTAGTAAAATGCAAAAGGTATATTGTGTCTCAAGAACCATGGCTCCAGAATCCTTAATCAAAGTCACTTATTTGATTTCTATCAACTCAAGGTTGATTGATGGACGATAGTTTCATTGAGAGACTTACTAAAAAGGTACCTGATCTTTTTGGGTAATATCTTATGCTAATCCTTTGGCACATTCTGTTTCGTGCCTGAGCTGTTCCTGACGCCGAAAATAAGATGCTAGAATTTGTGACTTATAGTTGCAATTTACGACTATAGTTCTTAAAAATATATAAATATACTTTACAATTTATAACAATAAAAGTCAATCACCTCAGCGGGTGGATATCAGACCATCTGTTTTATTTTTCTGAACAAATGAATAATATGTTCACGCCAATTCGACTTTTACCATAATTATGTTTCATAAATAAGTATAACATTACTAATGCGTAACACATTGGTTCATTTACATGAAAACAATAAAAGCATGTAGTTAGTAAAAATGGTGTATCGTTAACTACCTAAACAATGAATAGGTTAAAAAAATCTGGGATTTCTGAGAAAATATGAATTTGTTACATACGTTTTCAGTTACTTTTGATATTTTTCTTTTACCATTACAATCAAGCCTTTTCACGTATTATTTCGTGATTTTACGTTAGATGTTATATCCATACATCGTTTTGTAGTTTAGTTTTTATTCAGCTGTACTGCACATTGTGCGTATGTTTTCATTTTATCGTCTATCCTCTTACTCAACTTAGCCATTCTGCTAAACGGATAAGATGGGCTTGGATTAGTTGTGGTAGCGAAATGTATAACAATATCCTATTGGCACGTAGCTTAGCTGTGTTAAAAAACCTTAAAGAATAGGGTAGATTTCTAGGTCAAAATTAATTGTTTCGCCTTAATCATTAAAAGTAACATCTTAAAGTACAGCCACCAGCATTGTCTTCCATTATTAATATGAATTATAAATGATTTGAAAATATCTAGGTATGACGTCACGCCACAGTATCCACACTTATAGTATAAATGTGCAAGTGTTTACCGCGATAACTGACACACTTAGGCGGAGCCGCGGGCAATAGATAGTTTAATATAAAAATATACATATGTCGTCTTAAGAGATACTTGATTTGACTTGTCTCACATTCTAACTAGGAGCACGTGTCTGCGTCTGTTAGTCAGGGGGTGTTTCATACGGTATAAGAACAAAAGCGAATCGTCCGTCAACTTCATTGTAACCAAACTATTATCCTCGTAGTAGTACTTTAATATTTCACATATAGTTTGAACAGATTCGTTCCATAGAATAATCAGTTATATACGTTAAATTTACTATTCGCAAAATGAAATGTAAATAAAGTTTATTGTTAGTTTCTATTTTTTGTAACTGTAGGTTTTTCTACTTGTAATTTATAGTCTATTGTTATAATTTATTAGCGGAATAGGTATACGAGTGTAGTAAGCAGGAATCGAACCATAGGAAATCTCACAGTATTTCCATTTTTCGATCACATATTTCTGGAGGCAAGATAAAATCTATAAATGAAAAAAGATTGAAACTGTACATTTTGGCAGTTAACCGCACAATAATTTTTCTCTCTTGACCTTAATAACTGCAATTTCGAAGGGAACTGTTTTGGGGACACTTCGACCAATAAATATTTCTCTAATTTTCTGTGAAATTCAACAATTTTTATGCTTCATTAACACAGTATAAATTTAAACTATACGTATTCACACGGGGTATGACTTTATAAAAAGTAAAGTTTAGTAATTCCATTCCAGTGATTTAAAGAGTTAGTAATTCCATCTGCAAAGAAAAGAAATCAAAGAGAAATATATGTCAGTACTTACTTGGTAATACAAGTCTCGACCATGGTGTAAGCTTTAAAGCCGAGGATGCTAAAGATGACTACAGAAGCGTATATAGCCGTCAGAGCATTGCATACTGAAACCAGGAGCACGTCTCTGACGCAGTTGTTGTTTGGAGGGTTGTATGAGCCGAAGGCTATTAGCGAACCGAAGGCAAGGCCAAAAGAGTAAAATACTTGAGTTGCTGCATCGAGCCAAACCGTTGGGTCGAGGAGTTTCTCCAGCTGCAAAAAAATTAATGACTTGAATTGGAGGAGCATAACCATGAGGTGCTTCTTTTTTCTCCGTCTAGGGCAAAACTACTGTAAGCTGGCTACGCCCATGAAACGGAAATATCAGTAGGATTAAAAAATACTGAATAATAGTGTTAGTAGCGAGTCTGTGGATCGAATAATCTTATATATAAAATTGTCGTGTCACAATGTTCGTTCCCGTACTCCTCCGAAACGGCTTGACCGATTCTCATGAAATTTTGTGTGCACATTGGGTAGGTCTGAGAATCGGCCAACATCTATTTTTCATACCCCTAAATGGTAAGGGTGACCCATCCCTAATTTTTTTTTTGTTTTGCAATACAACGTTTGCCGGGTCAGCTAGTTTTTTTTATAATATTATGAAGCCCGAAGTCCTGACACACTGACTTACGCCCCATTAAAAGAAAGCAATAAGACAAATACTGCACGAATAGCGTAGTGGCTTAAGCGGTCGCCACACCGTTTCCTACTACGCTGAGTGTTGTGTGTTCGATCCCCATGTTTGTAAAGTTCAACGCCACACAGGATGTGTATTACTAATGCGTATTTGTCTTAAAAAAATACAATTGAATATTTTGTCGTTACATGTTTGTCTTTCATATCGCACAATCTATCAAAATGGTCTCCAGTTTGATTAATATTAGCCAGACAATAATATAACTGCTACTGTACTGCTATATGTCGTGGATGCCTGCTATTTGTTACCCGTTTGACGTTTTATTTGTTTCCCATTTTTATTTTTAATAAAGAGAAGATATTTTTCTTTGGTACAGCTATTACTCGTATAATGTATGTTTACCATTTACTACGAAAATTTTACTATGTGTAGATACTTATCCATTTAACATTTACGTCAAAAATACCTCCAAAAATGCTTCTTGATAGCATTCCGCGTAAGCTTACAGCAGTGTAATGTTGTGTGTGCGTAATGTTAATTGCCTTTGATATACTCGTATATTTTATAAAATGATTTACTAAATATCGCAACTAGAAATAGTTATGAAATTAAGGATGACGAGAGCTGCATAATGCCCTGAGATCCCTCAGGGCATTATGCAGCTCTTTGTACTCATCATTATCTTCGACAGCCTTTAATTTCTCCCATTGTCGACTCTTACGATACCTACGGGATAAATAGTGCTGGTGACACTCTGTATTCTTAGTCCACTCACCACACGTGCAACAAATTGTAGTATCCAAAAACAAAAAAACACGCCAAATAAAGTATAGAGACTCAAATATACAGTCAGTGCTCCATTTTTGAGGGTCATAGCCTATATATTATATTATTGCTTTCAACTGTCCTCAAGAACTTGACTATTAAATGAAGAGTTCAATTCTGACTCATAATTTCAGAGACTGTTAAAAACAACTCTTCAATTTTAGTACTGGTAAAATTGAATGAAGAGACTTGTCGAACGACTCTGCAGCGTTCATTGAAAGACGCCTATATTCAGCAGTACCTATTTATAGCGTTTGTACAACACGTTTATTTGTCAAAAGGCCTCAATGTGTACATATAATTACGGTTGAAATCTCAAGGTCCCTTAGAAAATAGTACACACTTAGTATATCACTTAGTATAATAGTAGTTACATATCATTATCGGTTTTAACCATTGGTTTTCGTTCTTCGTTTTGCATTATTATTGAGTTCATTTATACAGAACTGTGTATTTTGGGGTCTACTCTTTACAGCAGAACTTTTTATGTCATAATATTATTTTGCAAAACAACGGATAGCATAAACTTCATTTCGCAGAAAATCGTTTGGCGGACACTCATTTGTCATACATTCCAAACTCATAATTTTGTACGTCATAATCATCTTTAAGCATAAACTTTACATCCATAATAATTTAAAAGTAGAACCATCATATCGCCGAAAGTTCATAGTCAGAATCGCCTTTAATTTCAAATCGATAGTCATTAAAAGGCAGAACTATTACATCTCAGGCAGTTTACAGTGAGAATCATTTTTGGCATACATTTAATATCTATAATAATTGAAAGATTATCAACCCATCATTTCGTATTTCTTAACATAATAATAAAGCCAGCAAGTATGCAGCATGTAAGCAAGAATGCAGCATGCAGCATATCTGTCACGGCCCCATCCGAGCTTACTGTGGCATATGAATTCAACGCTCACCACCGCAGCTTCGGCTTGCTGGCCCGGCCAGCCTCAGACGCGGCAGCGAGCGTTGAAACCACCTCCTCCTCAGCTCGCGGGCCGCCTAGCCCCCTCGGCGCCTACGCAGGCTTAAATTACACTCTAAGGGTAGGGCAGACAAGACTACGTGGAGTCGGTTTTGCAGTGATTCGTTTCTGTCACAAACTTTTGCACATTATGACTTTTTAAGATAATAATTTAACGTTAAAAATGCTACTTTAAGGCAATATGCCTAATAAATTTATTCCAAATGAAATTCTACCAAATAATCGTCTCTCTAAATAAACGTTATGCTAAAAGAAATTATGCGATCTTCAGAGTATGTCTCATTGTTAATTCGGACACATTACATACATTCGGCCAAACAATAATTATACTAAATATTTTTTATGCCTTAAAAATATTCGTACAAACAAGATTCTGCTAAGTGTGTTTTGCGAAATAAATTTCGGAGCATCAAGATTCTGCCAGATAGAGGGAACCCGTTTTTTTTCACCTCAAATCTATAGTGTGTGAGGCAGGTCGCTGTCACTCCAAAATGTTCAAAATGTATGAAATGACAGAGTATTATGGGTTATTGTTGTGTCCACATTAATTAAATTACACACATGGCATAAGTTAATAACGTTAAATCAATAGGTTTTACAGGGATAAAGTTATTTTATTGATCTCGATAAGGCGTTATTTTAAAACGAGGATTTATTTTAAAACTTTACACACAAAATAAGTGGGATGCGAGAAGCCGAGGATTGAACTAAGTGGTGTGCAATTGGAGAGGCCTGCCCAGCAGTGGACTGCGATAGGCTGATGATGATGGTGATACACCAAATGTAAATTGGCGGACTTAATGCCATAGGCATTTTTTGCCATTCTACCGTTGGGTGGTGTGGAAAGGTATACTAAAATTTTAAATTTAACAAATAAGACGAACTAAATATCAGTACCGCTTTGTACAAAAAGAGAAAAGAAGAAACAAGAAACAACAATAAAATATGTACATATACAAATAATGTAGCCAAATGTAATATCATTGTCATATCATCTGAATAGTATTTTAAAATAATCATATAAAAATCTACGCCTCAGATTCCTCGAGAACATTCTGATTAAGATACATTTGTGCGATTCTAACCTGCTCAAAGTATTTCTTAAACGTCTCAATCCATACATATAAACATCACCTAATTTATTTCTATAAATAGTCTTCCATTTTCTCTAAGTAAACTTCCAACATTCTATATTCAATTTCCAAAGTGCCCGATTGCCGGCAATAAGCTTACCTACATAACGTAAGTGAGACCAAATTAAATTATAGTTGACAAATGAGTTTAACTGTTCACCCTACCCCTTCGGGACTACATCAGTCAGTGAATGTTTATATGTAAGTTTATGATATTAACTCATGTCATCCTTTATAATTTTTGGTTAACATTCAAATGGATATCAAATTTCGGCCAGCAAACTTCGCATAACTCGATTAAAATAAATTCCACAGCCCCTTTAAAAAAATATTATGAAATTTTACACTTTTACCTTCGGCTTATACATATGCCAGATCCCATCAGATGAGCCTGGAAGAGTGATGCCACGAACGAAGAAGATCGTGAGTACGGCGTACGGGAAGATAGAAGTGAAGTACACAACCTGCAATAACATACCGATAGCGAAGTTTGAGACGTCCTAAATACTCCATGTTTGGACCTTTATGCACCATCCAGATTAAGGTGAATTTGTGTTTATTTAAAGATCTCTTGAATTACAGAAATGAGAATTTGTTTTTATACTGTAATTGCCAGCTAGCATTGAAGCTAGGGCATGTGCTTTCATCTCTGCACAGAGAAATTTCAAAGATTCTTGCATGAAGTCACACTACAAAATAGAAGTAATAACCATCCATACCTTTCCACTGCTTTGAATGCCTTTCATCACGATGAAGAATACGATAACCCATGCGAGAAAGAGGTAGCATACGATCCACCACCGCGGCACACCAGGCTCTTCGATGTTTGGTGACGCGTCAAGTGCTTCACGGTACCAGTAGTAAACCGTGGCTGAAGCCTTGCTGCATTCCAGTTCTGCTGTACCGTTGTCTTGGGGGCATGATGACCATGGAAGCTGGTCAGCTGTTAACTATGGAATATAAAAAGATTAAGGGTTATTGAATAATTTGAAATTAGATCTGATGACGTGACACACACGTCGAAGTTACAAAACGCAGTATGGGACATCTTCCGCATTTGTAAACTGTTTTCAATAATTATTGTTTAAATTCAATAATTTTAATTACTTGAAAATATTATATCTCTAAACGTGTAAAATTAAGGAATGAAGAATACAGTTTAGAGGTAAGAGACGGTGATACGTCTAAGAGAACATGAAGGCTAACTTATTAAGTTAATTTTATTGGTGCTTTCATCACAAAGAGTGAAAAGCAATACCAACTTGACCGTCCGACAAAAAAGCTGTCCGACCAGAGATTCGACGAACATATCACACGCTAAATTAAACAATTATTTTGGCCTCGAAAAGTCCAAATGAAAGAGTACTTATAAATATATATGGATATCGAATTCCAAAATATTAATTAAAAAAGATGATCACGAAAAGAAGATACATGCGATACGCTTTGAAAGTGATATCGAAACCTACCTACAACAAGACAAAGAATAACTATAAACCTACTTAAATTTACAAGTATGTTTTTTATGTTACCGGACTAACCAGAAATGGACTGAACTAACAGAAATTAAGGAATGGTACAATTATATAAACACAACGGAAACTAAGCTACAAATTATCAGCATCAATATATGTTCATTCAGAAGGCACATTAATCGATTAATAGTCTTACTACAAAGTGCTTTGAATGCGATAGATTTGTTGTGTCTCACAGAAGTTAAATTAAACATGATGAAGTATGCCTGTACACAATAAATGGCTTTAATATGGACTCACAAACCCGAGAAAAGAACGAAGAAAAACCGAGAAGTGGGAATAGTTGTTTATGTGAAAAATAATCTACTCGTACAATACAACCCAATACAGTGTCGTACTGCCTTACTGCCTCGACATTTGAGCTGATATGTAATTAACTTTTTAAGAACACATAATACTTATATGTTGAAAATGTATAGGCCGCCGAACACAAACAAACGCATTTTTAATTAAAAAACATTATTGGAGCGTTACCAACGCTCACTGAATTTATATCGGTAGGCGACTGTAACATTAATTTATTGGATAACGAACTGGACAGCAAGCAGAAATCTAAATTCACTGGCAAACTTAGGACTTTAATGCGACATGCAAGATATAACACCCGAGGCGGTTGTTGGGCAGCGGCGAGTGGCGTCATGCATCGATCACGTCTTCATACGCTCACGAGCCGATCATTATGTAACAGGTATCTCTCTGAGGGTGTTAGTAAAAGTAAAACTCGTTAGGATATCAAGGCAATAAGAGAGAAGCTTAATAATACTGATTGGTCACAAGATCCTAACGAATTATATACAAAAATGTGTGCAATTTTTGGCGATATCTAAACCCTTCTAAAAAAGAAAATTCAAATATGTGTGCAATTTTTAGCGATATCTTAACCCTTCTAAAAAAGGAAATTCAAATTACTGTAAACGCGAAACACAATCGTGGGTTACTAATGAGCTACGCTTTCTCATAGAGGTAAAAAGATAGGTTATTCAAGCAGTGGAAACTGATCCTCAAAATAATAATAAACGATTTCAGTATAATAGATTCAGTAACAAGACACATAAGCTTATAAATATGGCCAAAAATAAAACTAGATGTGAAACAATTACTGGTTGTATGGGAGACTTGAGAAAAATATGGTGTAATTTAAATAACTGGCTTGGGAGGACTAAAACGAGGGTAGATTGGAAATAGAAAAACATATTTTAAAACATGAAAAAACTTCTACGCCAGAAATGGATAGTATAAAACATAAATGACAACAAAAATAGATAGAAAAAGCTATGTTTAGGATTCCAATGTTAGTCAGATTTAAAAAAATACAACAAATTATGTGACAGTGGTTATAGAAAAACTGGACTGCAACAAGTCGCCGGGATCAGATTGTGAGATTTAAAACAAATTAAAGACTAAATTAGTCCAGTAATAACTTATTTTATTAATATTTGTGTTGAAAAGTCAGAGTATCCGGAGGAACTAAAGAAATCCATTGTCCGGCCAATATATAAAGCGGGATCTCTTGGGAGACTATAGTAACAAAATAGTCGAAAAATTCTAGTTAAACAGATTACTATTTTTAGAGAATAACAATATATTAAGCGATGTTGAACACGGGTTTAGATATAAGAGAAGTACTAGCACTACAATGGAAAAATTTACAGATGAAGTCAATAGGAGTCTAAATGAAAGGAAAATAGTTATGGTTATATACATAGATTGCAAAAAAGCATTCGATACTCTGGATCACGACGGCTTATTGCAAGCCATGTACGAATGTAGTATAAGAGATCCAATGAACGCGTGGTTCAGAAAGTACCTCGAAAACAGGTCGCTTAAAGTTTGTGTCAATGGCACAGATAGTGTGCAAGGCGCGATAAAATTCGGTGTTCCTACTGGATCTGTTTATGGCCCATTAGGATACATAATACATGTCAATAGCATGTCTAATGTACTTAAAAAATGTAAGGCATTCATGTATTCCGATGACACAATTTTGGTATATAGCCATGAAAACGTCAATGTCATTAAGAAGCCATGGAAAATGATTTTCATAGTTTAGTACAATGGGCCAATAATAATGGCATCATAATAAATATGAATAAAACTAAGTGCATGATCATACATTCCCCTTATCATAAACATAAAGAATTTTCAATTACTGTAAAGGGCCATACGTACGCATGTATGCATAACTATATGCAACACTGTCGATGCTTAACTTTGGAGCGAGTCACCTCCTATAAATACCTAGGGCTAGTGGTAGATGATATATTGACATGGGACCAACACGTAAGCAACGTTTTTTAATAAACTTCGTTCAATCTTAGGTAAATTAAAAAAACCTTAGAATAAGTTATCAGTAGAAAATTAATGTATACGCTACATTATGCCTTGGCTGATGTATACATCGAGTACGGTTTGAGTGCATATGGACTCACATTTCCTACACATTTGAATAGAATATACAATTTGCAGATAAGATTTCTAAAATTACTTAATGATAGAAAAACAAAACAAGGCCTAAAAAACGATAACTGTAAATTATTTAAAATTTGTAAGTTACTAACAGTCCACCTTAAACTCAAATTAAATATTTTAGTTACACAATATAACAACCAAGACCACAAAATACAATGTGAATATTAGTACTCAACCCGTCTAGCCAAACTTAACGTTCCGAAGATCATGAACTACTTCGGTAAACGGATAAGAAGTTAAATGGTACCGCCCTTGAAATTGCTTTTCAAAAGCATACAGGTGCTGTCTCCACACCTTCTTTTAATAACTACTGTTCTCAACCATTTTTTTTTTGTTAATCTGCAACCAAATTTTTGTTGTGAAACATCTAATTTCGGAGAATCAGACCGCCCGTAGGCGTGGCGACGCGTCGCCACTATCAAATAGCATGGCATGCATCACCACTATTTGATAGTATATTTAAAATGTTGTGCGATGGTGACGCGTCGGCATGCGAAAGTGACTCTGTAACTCTCTTAATTTCGATGTTTCACGCAACGCGTCACAGTGACCCGTCCCGTTTTTGCTTATAACTATATCTATTTAAACTTACTCGAATACTGTTAAACAGGTAGAAGAAAACCCAAGTAATTATGACATTGTAGTACAGCGCCACAAACAATGTGACCATGCAGCTGGAAATGCCGATGCCGCCCAACCAAGGATGTATGGTGTTCCAGACACCTAGAGAGCCCAGGCGCATTTTTTGTCCAATGGCCATCTCGATCAAGAAGAGCGGGACACCTTCCAAGACCAACATGATCAAGAACGGGATGAGGAACGCACCTGTTGAAGAGAGTATTCAGTTGGTTAGTGGCTCTATCATGATGAAGATGCAGGTGTACTGCGTGAGTAATTTTGTGCTGTTTGTCCTTTCGTTTTATTGTTTAAAATTTTCGTCTTCATAAGTCATCATTATCAAGAGCCTTATATAGTCCACTGCTGGACATAGGCCTCAGAGAGGAGGTTTTGGCCTATTATAACACGCTGGCCAGACTGGATGATACAGAGTTTGTATCAAGTTTTCCTGCTATTTGCAGTGCTGTTGTCCTGAGTAGTTTGCTCCCTTAGTCGGCTCTTACGACACTCACGGGATGAATAGGGGTGGTGACACTCTTTATTCTTCATCTGTCACTACACAGATTATAAAATTTCGTGATTTCATATAAAAAAAGTGCTATGAGAGTAAACTTTGTCTCTAATTCTAGTCCAAAGACGGTACTCAGGTGTAAACATTAAAAAAATTGACAATATTACAGTGTTTCTTATCAATATTTTTTTTCAATAAAGTTTTTCTAAAATGGTAGTTAATTGTAGAGCCAATCCAAAACGTAACGTTTGCTAGAATTTTGTATGAAATAATGTAAATTCTAAATGATGAATTCGTACTTTGCTCTTGCCATTCTTTTACAATTAAAGATTAAAATAAAACAGAATTAATAAAATCTTAATTTTAATGAGGAGTGTTAAATAATTTATTTTAACATTAGAAGTTTCCTAATATGCCGATGTGTTAATTCATTTTTATTCGTCAAAGTTTGTCGTTTAAAGATTTATTTAAGTACACTAAACAAAATATGTAAGAATGGGTGCTATTCCCCTCTATTTTTCTACCTCTGATGTTAACCTTTTCTTTGATTTAAACGAAGCTCTATTTAAAAGAAATATGATGAAATAAAACATTTAAGACTATCCAAGCCGAATAAGATAAAACGTAATTTTTATTTTGAGATGTTATGTGCATTATGTAACTCAAATGTAAAACGAAAAAAAACATTTATGGTACGCACTTTTTGATAGAGTATTTTGACAGATTTAGGTAAGTCGATGTTATGCTGACTGTAAATTAATCATGCTCATTAATTGATTTTCGAAGGTTCACTATTTAGATTTGGAGTTTGTATTTTACCTATATTTGTGGATCTCATCACATAATTACACTAAAAAGAGATTATTTATACATTTAAAATAGTACTTCTTTTAAACGTTTGCATTGTATAAAAATATAATTATATTATTGGGAATTACCGTGAACACGTATGTATGTTATAATACGCACCACTATATCTTTGGCCTTGGCTTGCTTGGCCAGTATTGGCAGTATATACTCACGCAATAACGGCCACGTATGTAATGCCTATTAAATATATGATCACCATAATCCCCATCAACATAAACTGAAATAATGTTTTAAAATTGGTTTTTCGTAGCAAAGATTGCCGTGGAACGATTACCTCTACGAGGCATTTTGAAGCATGTAAAAATCGATGGCATTCTACCTAAACTACCTTACTAAATTTAGAATACGCCTACATTGTTTATATTCTCAGCGGTAATGTTTGTCATAGTTTTATTGTTTCTGTTGTATTGATAGAATGACATTTACAAATTGATAGGAAGTTTAGTTTTAAAATGAAAAGGTAAGTTGTTATGTACGTGTTCTTAATTTGAAATAAAACCAGCGTTACTCATAAATTATGAGATGATGTTATTGATGTATGCTAGAGTCTAACCGACACCGAACATAATATTTGGCTTGTTCGATAAATAAAATTAAACTTTTAGAACCCACCAGCAGTTTAATCGCATCGATGTGCATTAGAAAGCGGGACATAATAAAAGGAGAACAAGTTATAGAAGAGAGAAACCCCAGCTTATCAGACAAGGTCTAAGTGACAATCTGATTGTGATCTACGGAAAAAAACCTCTTTGCTTTATTAATTTTTTTGACCTAGTGGACATGGGGTTTAAGCTGGTTTGAGTTTACATTACTTCAGTATTATATCATCTACTTTTATTGTGGCAACCCAACTTGACAATCTATGCTCAAGAGTAAAAAGGATGTTAGTTAATTCCTTAAGTTTACTTCATTAATTATTAATACATACATCATTTGATAGCTCGTCCACAACTTTATCTTATTTTAATCCTTAGTGTTTTATCATGAATTATAATAAAAAACGAGAAATCAAAAAAAAATAGCAAATGCGTACATAAGCAAAAAGGTGATTAGAGCATTGCTTACATTCCCTGATAATGGAAGAGATGAGGAGGGGAAAGACTTGATAAACTATGCTTGTGTAACACATACCGTACATAAACGAATTTACAAAGAATTACATGAATTTGCAACATTTGTTTACATTTTTAGTTACTTAAAAGTGAAGCTCAAATGTTATTAAAAAGAACGAGCAGAATCCAGCAGTTCATGGGCCTTAGCAATGCCAAAGTTATTACTCACGGTCACTTAAAATTTGCTATTCACTCTACAATCGGATTAACAACTTTAAGCCAATGACTAGACAGGTGGGACATATTAATATTTAATACAACATGTTCGTATGTACCTAAAGACCCTAGTTATACAAGAGATTAGTATGATAGTGCTGGATATTAATAACTTTGATGTGAAGGAGGTAGTAGGATGTTAGGCATTGTTTAGCGTGTCGCAAGTCGGATCGCGCTTTGAATTGCTGGTTTTCTATTTACAGAGAGGCAGCGCATTAAAGGTTTGGGATGGAATATTTGTGACGCTATGTGTACATTGACAAACATAAGATAAAGCATGGTCCCGTTTATAGGAAAATTGGTATTTGTGCTTTTATGGGTCACTTAGTCGACGCTGTAGACGCGACAGTAGCCTTTACATACCCCGTCGCGATAAATAAAATACTCGCTTACAATTCTTTTCACTTCCGCATCAAAAATAGTTTGTGCGGGGGCCTTCCCAAACATTCACGAATGAACATCCAGACTCAGAACAACAATTTGTGGATCACACAAAGTGTTGTCCTATGTTGGAATCGAACCCGCGACATTCAGCGCAATAGGAAGCGGTGAGGTGACCGCTTTAACCACCACGCTATCCGTGCAGTCAATTCTTCCACTCGATCGTTACCAAGCCAAAGCCAAGCCGAAAGCTCTCGCCTCGCACTAGGCCCTCTGTGCCGTTAATATTCTCTTGTTTGACTGGGCTGCTCTCTGTTAGGTTGCCTTAATAAATTCTATTTTGATGCATAGCCTATATTATAGTTAAATCACATCTATGTTAAACTAGCTGACCCGGCGTACTTCGTACCGCCTCAGAATTACTAAATTTTGTGACATACTGACAGCAGTGCCACCTGCCGGGTCCAATTGTGTTTTTAAACCATCCAGGAACCCATTGGTATATACACCCAAATCGGTAAAGCCGTTAAGAAGGTGTTAGGATACAAACACACGTACAATAGATATGCAGCACCTAATGATATATTTTTTTTTTTATGAATATCATATTTTAATACTTATTATCCTATTCTGGAGGAAGACAAATCCAACAACACAAAAGTCATTAAAAAATTGGTCCAGCCTTTCCTGAGTTATAAATAGTGTAACTAACACGACTTTGTTTTATATTTATAGATTAATAACTGAGTGAAATACTGTTATTGGCATAATATTATATGATAAAGTGAACGATGTAAATCATAAATGGTTTTTTTTCTACTAACCTACTATTATTTGTAAAAGTATTTTAATATTACAATGCTCATTTAGATACGGCTTTCATAAGCAAGAATGAATGATGTGATATGTATCAAAAAATACTAATATAATGTATTAATATTGGCAGTTACTATAATGAAATAAATATGCAATTTAAAAAAACGAGCGTATCTTAGAGTGCTCGCAATTCTAATTCGAAAAACCGGCAGAGATGGAAGGACATCGCCAGATGTGCAGCAGTCCTGAAAGTGAGGCACGATGGCGAACCGCAACCCTGCCCATCAACTGCCATAACCAATCTGGCAAGAGTATCCGACTAAGAAGCCTTAGAGTAGTCGCGTAAACTCGCGTATGATTTGTTACAGCTGACTGCATTCAACATCTCTAATCCTTATTGGTCAAATTAAATAGCGCGCTATTCCTCGGCCTATTGTTACTTACATACTTTTTCACAAAATCATCCTCATAGATTGCAGGACAGCGAGAGAAAATATGTTCAAAATAAAAAATATCTCACAGTAAAGTGCACCTCTCGTAGCATAGCTAAAATCTTTATTATTACGGTGGCATGTCTTGGAAGTAATCGAATGTTCCAGAAAAATCCAAATTTTGAATGCACTAGGTACTAAAAAGAAATTTTATTGCAACATCTAAGTACTAATAGCTAAATGCAATATGAATCGTTTAATTCCTGTTACTTCATAAATTATTACGCTCTATTAAATTGATAAAGAACATTATGGATTTTAAGTACGTAGTTTTTAGAAGTTACACACATTTTTATTAAAGTTTTTAGTTACATTACATTATACACTGGCAACTCCGGTTAACTCTATATATAAAATATGCTATTAAAACCTAAAGTTTTATAAGACATGCCACATAGGATAATGTTGGTTGTAAGGATAAAATATTATAATACTATACAATATTATAAAAGTTCAGCTAACTTACCTCCGCCATTCTGCTGACACAAATATGGAAAGCGCCAAATATTTCCAAGTCCAACGGAATAGCCGATGATTGACAGGAAGAACTGAAGCTTCCCCGACCACGCTGCGCGGTCATCATCCGGCGCCTCTCGCTGTAACGAGCCCCTTGATCCTTGCAGTACGATAGTAACGCCATGAGGTCTCTCGCTACCATCGGCTCGTGCGTTCAAAGGCGCCAATTCATGCCCATTTCGGGGCCCTATAGCTTCGGCCTTTGCCGCCATTTTTGATGTCAAATATAGAATAGTCTATGCAACTCTATATTTTTTTCCTTCTTTAAAAATTAATTTTAAACCCTACTTATAATTATTATTTTTAGGTTTCACGTTTAGATTTATTGTCTTTTAATATTTAAGTTTAACGAGATTATTGGAGTGGTGTATAAATATGTTCATACTATACTATTGATGTATTTCGTAATCATACGTGAAGTACCGTATTGCGTCCTTTTTCACGAATTCAATTACTTTAAAGTACGTTGTGGTTCTTTGTAATAGTTTTTGTCGTAATTTTAACGAATCTCTAAACACGTTCACAGTTTCTCTGTGCATAAATAAGAGTTATTTTTACTATTTCTACGTCAATTCATACCAAATGGAATGTGTCTAGAAATTGAAATAAAAAGGATTTCTTTCACATTAAGCCATTTTATGTTCTCTTATTAGGGCATGAAATCTTCAAGGAAGTTAGTTCATCAGTGCTCCTGAAACAAAAATAATAATTTTGAAATCAACTTTTAATAATTAAATCTCTGTAGTAATAATACATAAAACCTTTTATAACACTTAGGAACCTATAGTAATGAGTATAACTGAATGCGATCAGAGCGGTATCACAACCTCACTTTTTAATTGCACTTATCAGCTTTGCAATAAACTTATTATTATATTTATTTATTATTATATACCCTCGCTGTGTGATAGCTTTTTTTTAGACCTTGCCATGAATTGTAACCCTAACACCAGAAGTAGGTACAGAATTACGCGCTGCCATTAAGATCCCATACAACGAGTGATATTCTCTCCAAAGCCTATACACTTACCATTGTTATGGTCTATTGGAATTATAATTACCTACTTATGTGACAGAATAAATTCTAATAATAGTACTAATACCTGTACTTTGGATTTCTAGAAATGTTTCAAACATAAACAGAATATTTTATGTGAACCTGATAATATTGGTTATTGAATTATCTTTCTTTTTTTCTGCTAAAACAGTGCAGTTACAATCTGTTTTGAAACCATACCTAAGTACGAGTTTGTTTTCCTGCTTGTCCTTAATTAGGTACCTGCTTCATAAAATTTTTAATACATTTCTAGGTGATTATTGTGGAGGAACGGGTGTCATGTCCCTCCAACACAAAGGGAGGATCCTCCAACCAGTCGAGGTGATCATGCCTGGCGGGCCGCAGCCCAACGGTTGGTGTTGGGCACTTGTATATATGCTAATCGGCGAGAGAACTCTTCTTAGCGCGATATAGGGTTAGCAATTCCCATTCAGTAGTTACTCCGTAGTTCGGTGTGTCTTCGTTACATGGCGCTGTAGTATGTTTCTGTTTCTTCGTACGTGGGAGTTGCCACAATTATTAAATAAAGGGAAATATGCAACTTAACCTACCATAACTATAACCTAATTATTCTATTATTTTAATTTTGGACTATATCAGAAATATTACAATGGCAATGTCATCATCAGTTAAAAGTAACCATTAGAGGGATTGGCCTTTTTTATTAACAACTATTTAAAAAAACTACCTAGCACTGAACGGCAGACTGGAGGATTACTCAGATTACAGTGATTTTGTAGATAAATGTAGCCCATTGATGGAACACAAAGCAAACTTCGTGAATGAACTGAAGTCAATTCTATAGCGGAACATAACAATACAACAATGTAGGTACAAAAATAGCCTGTTCGGAGTGCTAACACACGTGTAGCACACATATATACACAGCTTCCATTTACATTTGGTGAATATAGATAGAATGTTATTGTGATTTTTGATCATATTTGTAACTTTTAAAAATTATCACCAATATCGTGATGAATTGTAATAAGCTGTATACTTTATTCACTAATTTTCTTTCTTAGGGTTTCTCTTTAATTTTTTATTACTTTTGAACCGAACTGGAAGGATTTAAGGGTCAATTAAAAAGGTTTTCTCAAATCGCTTTGTAAATTACAGAGTACTGAGGTAACGAATAAAATATTACAATGGAATTGAGTACCTTCCCTATTTATTGAAGTCTTTTCAAGATTTTTTTGCCTCTCACAGCTAATCTGTGGAACGAATAGACGTCTGTGGTATTTCCAGGTCGATGCGATCTCTAAACCTTCTAGAAAAGAGCGAACTCACACCACAAAGGATGGTCATGAGTGTAAATAATAGTTGCGAAGTTCATGACCACGATGTACGTAGGTATGTTACTGCGAAGGTTTACTATATCATTGTTGCGAAAGTTCTTTACTGCGATGAAGGTTACTGCGAAACTTAACCTTTGCGATTTCACTTGATAAGCTGAATAATTGGGATATTTACCATGTTTATTTTCGAAAATTATTTTCCGATATTTTAGCACTGTAGCAAGCGCCATGATCACCGATGAACTGAATAGTCCGTTTATAATAACTTACTTGTGTAGTAACTTTCTATGATGTTACCACCCTTCTGCATTTGCCCTCTATTTCATAAAAAATATAAGTTTCTTTATTCCCCATTACTTCTTAAGAAAACAGATTTACAGGGTATTGTTAGAGCCACGATATAATCCCGTCCCGAGTGACAAAAATGGCGAATCAATATGGCAGCTGTATGGAATGGTATGACGGGTTGGTGGGACAAACCAAGACGATAAATTCTCTTAAGACATCTTTAGAAAGTTTTCACAAAATACTTGTTCTGCTTCCATTATTTTAATCACGTTATTCGAAGTGGTGTTGCGATACTCACATCTTTACAAATTGTTTGCAAATAATCCATCTTTAAAAACCAGTAATGATATATGTATATTAAAGTGTGTCAAGGTTGTACGCAAAATATGTTGGGGCGCTCGCCCCTATCATCATCTCTCTTTTTAAGAAAAGAATCGAAGAGGGTTGCGGAATTTATACAATCTGTAGGTAAAGGTTTACTTTTGCAAGGACAAGTGAAACTTCTTCCTAAAAACTTTTTTATCGATGGTAAGTACTTACTAATACATAACTATGCTATTTTCTTTTTTACAAGACAAGCCTTCAAAATGATAAAATGATTTTAACGTAACAGTAATTTCTGAAGTAAAAACTTTTTAAGGCGCGTTGGGCATTTTTGAACAACAAACAAAAGAATGTATTTTATGGTTTAACAAAAAACAGCTTTTTTGAGGTGGAAAAAACTTGCAACACTGTTACTGTTACCGTTACCGACACCTCTGTATATAAGTACCTATCTGGTTTGAAGGTTTACACAATTAGTTTTTACATTATAGTTGCCACGTTATTTTAATACAGTAATCCCACATGATCAGATGACAAAATTATAACTGTAAAAGTTGAAATCAAAATTTGAAATTTGGCATCGGTGTGGTCAACCTATGATCCTAATGGCTGCCATCTTGGGATGCCTGTATAATAGGATCGTTTTGCGACCTTTTTTTCTGCGGTCGTATAAATTTAGTATTAGTGTCTGTGTATTTTTCAATTTAAGTAGGTAATGTAGCTGCGAAACGGGGGATTAGAAAGCTAAGATACGACCTCATAACCTTCAAGAAAACCGTCTTTAGCCTATCGGAGGCCCTGGGTACATTGGGATAATGGGGCCCCTACGACCTTGACTGATTAGTGTCTGTGATAGAATAGCCAAACAAGGTATTATAATCAGCTATTTTCGCTGGACTTTTCTAAATAAATATGGTTTTCGGTAATAAATATCGATTATCGAATTAGGTAGGTAGGAATTAGGGGGCCACTATCTATCGAGTGGCCTTGGGCACGTGCCCAGAGTGCCCAGTGGGAAAGAGGGGCCTGCTTGTGACTCCTGCAGATGATCATGGGCCGCGGTAGTCTCTTTCCAACAGATAATCCGTCTGCTCGTTGCCTCCAAAATCATAAAAAGAAGATATCAACCTTATTTGTGTTTCGAGAGTATTTAATCTTTTTTTTTTGCTTATTGGCTACTCTGAATATGAAAACAAAGTTTAAAAAACATCTGTTTAAAAGTTATTTAAAACTTAGCTTCAATCTTATTTTATTAAATATATCTATATTTCAATCGAATAGTGCGGTACAAAATAGATATCGATTTTTGTGACCCAGTTACCGCGAATATCAGACGACCACTACTTTATGTAAAATGAGGGACAGATGTCGGATAGACGAGGGGAACGAATGAATAGAATTATGTGTATATGGGTATTGAATCAAGCAAAAGTGTTTTCAAACCCGTTTTCTTTTCAATGTGTTAAGTAAAGGACTCTCTCTGGTGATCTATAGCGTACTGTCTGGCTAGGCTAGGGATTAACTGGTCCTAATGTTTTATAAAAAAAAATGTTCACTAAATAATTTACACATGCTTAGTTATACATAATCACAGACTTTGCTTATCGTGGTGCCTTATAGTGTTAGATAAAAGATATATACTATCATGTCAAACCATAAAATATGAAAAAGGTAGGTGACTTGCTTGAAATATGCTAAAGCATGAGTATACCACGGTCTAAAGTAATTAGTTAGGCCATATAACAATCTAGTATCAAGTTATTTTAACACGCATTTACTTAGTGAAATTGCAAATAAAAAGGCTGAATACTGAACTTATGTCTTCAAGCTGAAGGTTCATCCTCAGCAATTCGGTTGTCATTTAATAAAAATAACATTTCGGACATCTGTCACACAACGTCATCTAATTTAAAACAAAGCAGAGCTTGTACTATGAAACTAGATTGACTGATAGAATACTATTATACATTTTTTTTTAATATTTAGTTTTTTAAGTATTTAGTTTAGACATTGTGATCTTTAAAGCTATTATATGGTGCTAGTCCAATATCTAGTACAATAGCACGGCACATCACTATTATTATCGATCACTTGAAGTTCAAACGGTGGAATGATTCGTGTTTCCGTGTACATGAAACTATAGCATTACTCATTTGGTTCGATGAACAATTTAAATAAAACTAGCTGCGCCCGGCTGGAATAGTATATTTTTTCGGGATAAAAATCCTATGTGTTAATCCAGATA